ATTAAGACCATGATTTTAAGCACTTGTGACAGCAAAGTTACTAAGCATGAAAAAAATACTGCAGTATTCATGATACAGCATCCTGATCCAGTGATTGGAAACTGCCTCTGGCAGGGGGTTTGGAGCTTCATGATCTTTAAGGTATCTCCCAATCTAAACCACTCTATGATTCTATGAGTTTGTACTAGTCCTGCATCTTCTGCATTGCCCAATCTTCCCATTCTGCTGTCTCTTTCTCCAAAACCAAGTCTATTATCTTCATAAGCTCTCTGCTATCACAGTGGAAGAGTTAGTAGGCTGTTTTCTCCTTCTGTCCAAAAGGGAATGGTGGTTTGTGAGATTAAAAAAAACCAGGTAGATGCAAGGGGCTGTAAAATGACAAGGAGTCCTGAGGCTTTTAAAAAAGTGCCCTTGCACCAGGCACTGGAGCTGCATACACAAGAGACGGGAAAGGTCACCTTGGCTGGAAGGCTGGAGAAGAAATGACAGCCCTAGTACAGTCATTGACTCCTCTAACCCCTTAATTAAAAGAGTAAATTATGTCATGCAATCACACTTTTTTCGTATAGCACCATGAAGCATTTAAGCAGCATCATCCATCTCTGACATGCTGGTCTCTTTCTTATTAGACTGAGCTGCAGAACTGTTTTATCGGTGTTCATTGAGACCTGCTCCATGCTCTGGTTAGGCAACGCACAGATGTATTTTAATCTCAAATTCTGTGAAAATATGTCCTGTTTTATTTTGCCATGGAACATTTCTAGCCATGCACTAATAGATTAATACTGAATTTGGCCCCAAACTCACAGATCTGTTGTGCCTAGCTAGTGCTTGTTAGGAGGACTTGAAGGGTTGTCCCTCAACTCAGCATCTTGCATGTGGACACTGTGATCTCTGAGGTAGCTGTCTATGTTTGCAGCAGCGTGTTTGTAAGATCTTTAAATGCCTAATGAGATCGAGCTTATAAAAAGACTTCCTTGTCTTGGATTGTAATTCCCAATTTACACCTATTGCGTAGGCTGTACCTCCCAGAAATATCTCATCTAAAGATGTGTGTTACTTGGATGAATTCAAGTTGGGTTACGAGGGTAAAAAAACCATGATTCAGTATGCTACCACCTGCATTTTCTCCCTTAAGTTCCAGATTACTGCTCCCAAGTCATTCATCTACTTACTTTGCCACTTTGCCATCTGAAAATTGAGTTAAATATAGAAACAAACTGAGAGGCTGGCTGAGAGTATTGTACATTCCTGCATACATATGAATGTTGCATTTTCCAAGTGTCATTAGTTCCATGAGAAAAAAAAAAAAAACAAAAAAACAAAAAAAAACCCAAAAACTAAGATACAAGTTGGGATATTGTTTGTAAAGGTAATCTTTATCTGAGACTGCTTTTTAGGCTCATCACTGTTTTACATGAATCTGTTTGAAGCAAGCAACTGTATTCCTTTAAACCTTTTACCCCCGCTGTAAGCAGTGGAGTTTACCTCACTCCTCAAAGATAGGTGGCTAAACTTCTAGAAAATCTAAAGGTAGCTGCAAAAAGAGAAGGAGAATTCCAGATTTCTAGCAGTTTTGCTTTATACTCTTTCCCATTTCTAAGGATAGATTAACCATCCTAGTACTGCAACTTCCTCTCTGAATTTCCTGAAATGCTATCATCTTGAAAATCAGCAGTCTGTAAAATTTTTCCTTGCTATTTTACTGAGTTCTGGAATGAGAAGGAGTATTTCAACTTTCTGATGATGCTTTCCTCATTTAATAGCAACTCTTCCAATTTTCCATCAGTGGAAATCCATACAAACACATCTGCATGTTTTAGGGTACAGAAGTTTTTTCATACCACACTGGATCAAGGAAATACATTACTAGACTCAAAGCAGTTAACCTTGAACTGGCCCATCTTCTAGATAGAATTTTGATGTACAGAATTTCCCATTAGGACCAGAGTAAAGTGGAGTTCCTTCCAGGAGTATTACACATGCTCCTCATTGAGAGCTCCTTGTTTCCTTATGAAAGATAACAGCCATTAGTAGGATATCATAGGTTTACTGGTCTGGGACTACAAGACAAAAAGCTTCTAGCTCTTCACCATTCTATGCCATGAATATTCTTGACTGTACATGTTTCTGCACATATTTCCTTTACATTACAGCATAAAGCCAACAGATGTATCATATAAACATAGGATTTTACCTTCAATTTAATTATTATTTTAATATTGTTTGATGAAGTTCTTATTCATAACAACTGTAATGATCAGCTGAACTGAGAGCATGCAAAGGTACAGTCAGAAGTGTCAGGGCTAGAATGCTTAGCAGTCCTTAGTTACTCACTAACTCACCTTACATCTTATTCCAGAAGAAATCAGGAAGCTTGAGACACCTTGAAAGCCCGAGAGGCTCAGGATTACAATCTCCCCACTCACTTTTGAAAAATGCAGGACTCTGATAGATGATTTTTGGCCAATGATGAACAGCTGGGGAGATAGACAATAACATCTTAAACTGCTGCAGCTGCTTACTAGGTAAATGTGAGCCAGATCCCTTAAGTCAGTTTTTATTTTTTGTTAAGTCAGTATACTTTCCACTTACTAAACTTGATCTAACTGCTCAAAGTTAACTTATGCTTTTTTATGCCTAAGTCAACAGTGGAACCAAACTGAACTACTTGCTTTTCAAAGAGTATTAGATGTTAGGACTTTCTGAAAAAGTCATTCTCCATTAAAAGTGTAAGAAGTTATCACTGCTAAGTCACTATTTATTTGAGGACATATATTGGAAACTATTTAAAATTACATTTGGCAATGTATCATAAATTCATATCGGAAAATAGTTTGTCTGGAACAGAAATACTTCAGAATCTGCCAATTTTTTTTAATCTTTGGCAGTATTCACGTGCTTGCAGATTTTGGTATTTGCCTTAAAGGCATGTTTTCATCATGCCTATTTTCCTTGTAACTCCCCTAGCTGGCATTCTGCCTGGTAGATGTTTGCAGGATGGGGCCTCAGGCCTTCCAGGCTTACAGTACAGCTAGACACCCTCGGGTGCAGGACTATGCAGTGTAGATTTCCAAGCAAAACATCTCACTTTGTGGGATCTTTCAAAATAGCAACTTTTCAGTCTGAAATACAAGTGTGTAAGTATATTTTTCTTATATTCCCGTTTGTGAACAGCTGATTTCAAATTTGTAGATATGCCTAGCAAGTGAGAAAAATAACTTTTACCTCTTATAACACAGGGTGCCTGTTCTTCACCAAAGTTAAGTTCCAGTAAGGAGAGCAGGCAAATTCCAGTTTCTCCAGTAGACCCTCACATACCTGGTTTCATGATTCAGTTGGTCCAGATGCTAGGAATAAGCTAAGCAAAAATCAAGGTGAAAGTCTTGGATGAACATCTAATTGGAGTACCAAATTTTCTGACACTTAAAATAACCTGATCTATCGAGACAGTTCCTTTGGTTTGTAATTGGTTTGTCTGAGCCGTTTCCCATACAGCACATACACTATAGACAAATGAATATGAGAATTTCGATTTAGGTGCAATAGTACAGACGTGATAGAAGGTGGTCAGTGCAGTATGTGGATGTCTAGAATAAGCAACTAGAATACGCATACGTGTCTATCACAGAAAGATGAGACAACAAAATTAAATGACTTTTGTGAGATTGTGATCATAAAATCATGAATTCACCACTGCACCTTTAGGTGGACTTGCTTTTAAGTATTCACAAATACTTGGGTCTTTTACTGAGTATAGAAAAATCAGCCTGATTTTTATATTTATTTTACTTAACGCTGAGTCTGAATGAAAAGCAAACAAACAAACCCCACAATGACCAGTAACGCAAACAGTGTTTCAAAATCAAGGTCTTTACGTAGGTTATACTCACTCTGGCTAGGAAACAAGTGGTCAATTCCTGTTTGATGACTTTTTATAATTTCTTGTCATTTATTGACTTGAATCAGCTATACATTTTGTCAGTGCACTTAATTACTCTATAAATGGACTGAAAAAACAAACAGTAGCCACTCATATGCTGTTTGGTGTCCTTTACTGTCATGCTGTTTTATACCAAGGCTAAGAGCAGAAATGGCATTGGCCAGACAGATGAGTATCCTCCAAAATAATTGTGAAGTTTTACAAAACACAGCATCAGTCCAGCAGAGGCCCAAGTTACTTAAAAAATTCTGCTGGCTTATTAATATTTTATATCTGGCCTTAACTTCTGGCCAAAGTTTTATGAGAGGAAAGAAAGGATTTTGCTGATGAAAATCTTAGGATTGACATAGAATCAGTATTTGATTAGTAGAGGTTTGCTGAATGTAGTCATTAGCTCTTTGTATACTTCTCCCTCACATCCCATTCATCTTTTCTCATTTTTTAAATCTCTCTCTTCAATATCTGTAAGTCAACTGGTTGTTTTTTTTGTTTGTTTGTTCATTTGTTGTGGTTTTTTTTTTTTTTTTTTTTTTTTTTTGAGAAAGCTTGTGGCGCAGAAAAATCTCCAGCTCATCACTGAGTTACTCTAGTGTATACTTCAAATTACAGCCTGAACAGCTTTCTCAGTTAAAGCTAAATGGGTTAGAGCTGGAAGGCAAAGGCAAAGTAATTGTTATAAACTAAAGGAGTACCTTTAAAATTTTCAGGAGAAGGAGGATGGGAGAGATCCATATTAGTCAGTTCAAAAGAACTCAAGATTGAACAAACTCAGCAGAAACAGCACATTTCCCTCAGCAGAAACAGCACATTTCATGTTAATTTCACTTGTGCAAAATCCATGTCCTCAACTGCCCACAGTATGCTTCAAAACTATACAAATTCATGTTATAAAGTTTGCCTAAGCCAGTTCTTACAAAATGTGTTTTATAGGTCCACAGGCTAGCAAACTGTTTTTCTACCTACCTCCACATGGTCTTCTTAATGATGAAGCTAACTTACCCAGCTACTTCTGATGCCATCCTGAGGATATTTTAACAATAATGTTACTCAAGTGAACTATTTTAACAAGGCTTTTATTGAAAACATACACAAAGTTGACGTTATTTAACTTCTGAATGTACATATTACAGAATATTCCTATTAGAGAAGAATATTTTGAGAAAAAGCAAAATACAACTGGCATATGCTGCAGTTAACATTACTAAGGCATTTAGGCTTAATAGCAGGTTATACCTTGTGTGTGTGTCTATTTATATACACAAACACATATACACAGGTTGTCTGATTTGGTTGTCTGTACAGTGCTATGCATTCTGTTTTGTTTTTTTTTTTGCTATTTTTTCCCCTGCACTAAATAAAGCTTTTATCCAAATAGTAGTAGTTGTTCACAGAACAGCAGTAATAACCTACTCTTCAAGAGTTTACTTACAATTACAAAACTAATGATGCAAAAAACAACAAACAAAAAAACACAGATCTTCATGGGAAAGTTCTCTTACCAAATAAGGCTCAAGTAAGAAAAACATTAGTTTGAAAAGGCACCGTGGAGACAGGTTTTAATACATTAAATACAACATGAATCATTCACAATAACAAGTTTAGTGTTTCTGGGGAACTTTTGTAAATACAACACAGTTGGTCACACAAAAATGTTTCTGTTGATTTGTCTTGGCAACTCAGATTCATCAACAGTGTAACAGCATAACAGCTTTGTTCCCATCTGACAGAAAATAATGGCAGTTCTGCAAGGCAAACGTTAAACCTGACCGTATGTATTTATTAATTCCACAGTGTTTTGACAGATTATAGGGATGCAACTTAAAGGATGCTGACACGCTCACTGAGGGCTTTCATTTCTGTTTCTTGTAGCGTGGTGTTTTCATTGTGGTTAGCACTCGGAGTGATAAGGTGTGCTGGATACTGCAGTCCATGTTCTCCTGAATACTGTTCCCATCGAGAGTCATCGCTTTCATGGGTGATGTAACGCTCCCCCATTTTACATTCAAGCTCCCTTAAATCTAACCAGGTTTGATAGTCCTGAAATAAAGTAGTAGGATTTGTTTTAACATTTCTAAAATAAATGACATTTCCTTCTATTACCAATAATATGCAAAGTGCTATTAACTTGTCAATCTGCATCCCTATTGCCTCAGAACAGAGAAATTATACAATTAATAAATACGAAATCTGTCAATAGAAATAGGTCTATTCAGGTATGTTTGAATCATTAATTTTATTAAACTCTGCTATTAATATGGAGGTATTACAGGCTGTTTTACTGACTACTGAGATTCAATACATGGGTGATAAAATAATTCCTTGTCACTCCGCCTGTGGAAAGGAAGGCCCTGCAGTGGGATCTGGACTTTGGGCAGAGGCCAATGGGATAAAATCCAACAAGGTTAAGTGTCAGGTCCTGTATTTTGGTCACAATAACCCCCGGCAACCCTAAAGGCTTGGGGCAGAGAGACTGGAAAGCTGCATGGAAGAAAAGGATCTAAAGGTGCTGATCAACACCTGTGAGTCAGCAGTGGGCCCAGGTGGCCAAGAAGGCCAATGGCATCTTGGTTTGTATCAGAATTAGTGTAGCCAGCAGGACCAGGGAGGTGATCATCCCCCTCTACTCAGCCCTGGTGAGGACACACCTCAAGCACTGCATTCAGATTCAGGCTCCTTACTACAAGAAAGACATTGAGGCCCTGGAGCGTGTCCAGAGAAAGGACATGAAGCTGGTGATGGATGTGGAGTGCAAGCCTCGTGAGGAATGGCTGGGGGAACTGGGATTGTTTAGTCTGGAGAAGTGAGTGCTCAGGGGAGACCTTATCTCTCTCTCTAGAACTACCTGAAAGTAGGTTATGTCCAAGCAGGGGTCAGACTCTTCTATCAGGTAATTAGTGTTAGGACAAGAGGGAATATCTTTAATTTGCACCAGTGAAAGTTCAGGTTGGATATTAGGAAGAACTTCTTAGAGCAGTTAGGCACTGGAACAAGTCGCCCAATGAAGAGGTAGTCACTCCCTGGAGGTCTTTAGGAAAGGGTAGATATAGTACTTAGGGACATGGTTTAAAGAGAAATACTGGTGGGAGGTTGATAGTCACACTAGATGATCTAGTAGGTCTTTTCCAACCTTAATGATTTTATGAAAATGAAAAGGGAAAAAGTCATCCTTAAACAAACATCTACATCCTAATAATCTATATCATATAGTCAAGAAAGATGTTCTATCTTGGCATAAAGGTGTATTATGTAAATTCAACTTGAGTGAGAAAAGTATCTGTCCCATTCACCATTGCTCAAGGGAAAAAAGTGAATGAGAGGTGAAGAACAACATTCCATCATGTGAATCAGTCAGCATCCACACTGTAGAGATTACATCTCTGGTCTCCAAAAGCTCAGAAATATACTTTCTGATGACTGCATGGGAAGAGAGCACAGTACTGGAGGAAAAGACTGAAAGGTGACAGGAAATCTGAGAGGAAGAAAATAAGCCTAGAAGGAATGTGAAGGCTGAGGGTGTGGTTGCAGCCCTTTTCCTCTTGTTCAGCAGGTCATGCTCCACTCTGAGAAACACCGGTAAAGTGTAGGGTACTGGAATAGGATCCAGGCATCAGTTCAGATGAGTATTCCTTTGGGATTGTGAACTACGCATCTAATCTGTGCTATGCCTCTGCACGATTACTTTCCTATGCATATATGTGCATCCTTGGAAGATGAGTGACTGAGGGAACTGCGGCTATTTAGTATGGGGAAAAGGAGGCTGAGGGAAGATCTTATTGCTCTCTTCCAATACCTGAAAGGTGCTCACAGTGAGAGCAGGATTGGACTCTCCTCACTGGTGACAGGACGAGGGGAAATGGCCTCAAGTTGCACCAGGGGAGGTTTAAGTTGGATATCAGGAAAACTTCTTTACTGAAAGGGTTGTTAAGCTCTGAAATAGGCTCCCCAGGGAGGTGGTTGAGTCACGGTCCCTGAATGTGTTTGAAAGCTGATCGGATGTGGTGCTCAGGGACATGATTTAGCAGAGGGTTGTTAGAGTTAGGGTAGTATGGTTAGGTTGCAGTTGAACTTTATGATCTTGAAGGTCTTTTCCAACCGGAGAGATTCTAAATGTGTGATGCAGTCAGTCCTGAGTCACGAGTTACATCCATTTCTGAGCACAGAGAATCCTTGAGGACACAGGCACCTCAGAAGCACTGGATGCTTAATGAGAAGCTTCAGTGACCCAGACAATAATATTTGCAACAAAAATAATATTTTTCATTCTCATTGATAAGTTATAAACTGTTCCTTAGATCTCATGGCTGATGTCCCAGTTAGGATTTGGTCTGTCCCATTCCCAAGGTGCCCAGTGCCTAGCTTGCCCTGCTCCATGCACTGATTCTGTTTTGTATCTTATAGCATGCAGTGACTTTGCTACTGCCTCAATAAAAATCTAATATATAAGGAGCAGAAGACAATGGCTGCTAGCACATCAGAAATTCATAACATTTTAGTTTTGATTTGAGGATTTCAAATGAAAGTGGCTAATATATTTTCCTGGAAAGCATGCAGCTTCACTATCTCTTCTGATGACTGAAGGGCAGCCCACTGATTAGTTTTAATACTAAGGGAATCAAGGTAGAATCTAGGCAATTAGATAATGCAAGCCAAGTGACTATAAAGGTTTATTTCCACCATTACATCTATCTATCTATCTATCTATCTATCTATCTATCTATCTACACATACACACACATACAAACATATATATAAAACATTCTTAGTGGACAAACAAGATAAATTATTCCTGCATTGTATTTTGAAAACATGAGAGAGTTTAGTATTGGAATTTTGTATTTCAAAAATTAATTAGAATCTATTGGTAAATTGGTAAAGAAGTACGTGGTTCTCAAGATCAGAAAGCATCTGATGATTTGTAGATCTGTTTAGATTCTATTGTACTTAACAATAAAAATGTTTATATACTGGGAACGTAAATGCATAGGAAGAAACAGGGAGTTTGTAGCAATACCTGTAACCAGGGGTGGCTTAATGTTTTGTCCACGCTGTAGCGCTTTCTCATTTTCACTTGCAACAAATTATTTATTAGATCAATAGCTGGAAAAAAAAATATTAGAGCATATCAGTTGAAATGTATTTGTTTCAACTAAGGCATACAAACAGAGACAAACACGGTAGTTGTGAAATGAGGGCAGTTATCTCTCCACTCTCCAGCATTTTACAAACTGCATTCACTGTTAATGCTCCCGAAAGTACTCATGCAAACCTTCCTAATAGGATTACATTTTACTAAACAGCTGCCTGCTAGCTACTATATTGTCTATCTCTTTGTGTTTACTTGAGCAGGTAGGTAGCAAAGACTGAAGTCAATTCTCACTCAGCTCCTCCTCAAGTGAAAAAATACTTATGTGAGGACAACAGTATAATGCAGATACTACAGCAGTTTATAGTAAACACACATGCATATTTCTTTGAGACTCCCAGTATCACTGCTGAAGTGACATTGTTGGATGACTGAGAGCAGCAGCTTCAAGGCAGAAAGTGGAAGAAGCTGACTTACAAAGTCAGCAATTTCGAAATACTACTACTCCTCATAGTTTGGAACTTGAGAATTTCTCTTTCACCCAAGAAGGGAAAGACAGATTAACCCTGCTGTTTTGGAAAACAAACGAGTTTTCAGAATGCCTCCATATGGTCCTGGTCAGAATTCACTGGCTTTCCAATTCCACACTCACTCCTCAGACATTTTGAGAGGGAAGAAAAAAAAAGACTTAGAGAATGTAGCACACTAACTCTCCTTTAGTGCAATAACAGAGAGATGGTAGCTAAAAATCTATTTGTCCACAAATGAGAAAATAAAATCTGGACCACCTTCTCTAGGAAGAACATGGTTTAGAATCCTCCACTGATCTGCTACATGACAATTTTGGCTCCTTTCAGGCCTCTGTCTGGATTTTTGCTACATATTAGCATGTAAGAATGCACATGTAGGATTCTCTCTTACGTACAGCTGAGTAATTTCACATCTGTCAAGCATGCAGCCTGTTTTCAACAGTGTTAGTGATTGTTTCCAACTTCGATCTTTCAGTCCATCAAATCTGTATTATCTCAAAAGATTTAAACAGTATTTCCATACTGTTGAATATAAGGACAGAATTCCCTGAAAACATTTGTTCCTCTGCTTGTTCATATGTTTTACCTAATATGTCCTCTCTACGCTGGACGTCCTTTTGAACTTCTTGGGTCTAATATGTACTATGTCAAGTTTTAGATCACTGATGGTGTGGTTTCATTCTCTGAATTTTTTGTAAATCATTGTATTTCTAATTTATTAATTTATTTTTGCATCAACTACAATTGATTGGAATACTACTTAAATTTCACAGATGTGAAATTACTCAGCTATAAGTAAAAGAGAACCCTGCTTGTACATTCTTATGCACTAGCATCTAGCAAAAATCCAGATGGAGGTCTGAATGAAGCCAAATTGTCATATAGCAGATGAATGAATTCAGAAGCATAAAATGGCTTGACAATACCTGAAGACAGAGAGAGCAGAAATAGCAGGTTAGACAAAGATTACCACAAAAATTACCTCTATGCTGCTATTTCTTCCAATTCTATTTTGACATACAAATGCATACTCAGTTTTCAGCAAGTAGTCATTCAAATATGAGATGCTATTGGAAAATGTGGAAAAATGCTATTGCATTTTGGGGATGGAAATCAGTGAAGACATTTCACGGATGAGTGCTCTGCTTGGGAAATGATGCTCATGGTACAGTTTTGGATATGGATATCAACTGGGAAAAAATATTTGTCAGGGATATAAAAGTTGAGAACTCTTAAATTTTATAGGCTAATTTTTAATGTGGGAAGAGGACAGAAATTCTGCTCATCCATAATCCTAGCCTGTTAAAATTCTGAAGTAAGTTAGCATGCATAAATTGAAGTAAATTTTAATTGTCTTAGATGGTAAGTTAGGCAAGCCTAACTCTTGCAAGTTTGCTGAATTTTATGTTTATGCCTGCTATTACTGAGGCATGTACTGTTGTTTCTGGATGAAGTTACCATTATTAGAATCTATTGGTAATGTAAGACTTATAATCAATTATTAGAGTACCCGAATCCTTTTTTTTGTGTGTCTAAGGCATTATTGGATGGGATACATTGGGAAACTGTCCTTTGGGTTATAGGAACAGAACAGAGCTAGCAGTTCTTTAAGGATACCTTTCTGAGAGCACAAGAGATTTACATTCCCCAAAATGTTTTTTATGTGTTAAATTCCACCTAGATAAAAAAAGTTTAATAGAGATAGGTTGATAAATGTTTATTTATGGTTATTAGATGGGAGATAATGTCTAACCTCAAATTTTAGCTCCAGGAGTAATACTTGGATAGAGATCTAGATTCCAGCTCTCTGTTTTAAGAATCGTGGATCTGTTCAGATTTAGACTTGTATTTACCACATCAGAATGGCGCATCAATTAACAATTTCAAGTATATAGTGAAATGACAATGTAAAAGCAGATTTTAACATTATGATTTATTAAAGTGTGTGTTCTTTCTCCTACATGTTTTCAGCCTGATATCCATTTACTCTTAAAGAAGGCTGATGACTGTGTAGAAGGATAGATAACACTCTGGTAGGTGAGTTTTCTGTAGGTGCTCTACTCAATCTTCACCTCTGAATGTAGAAATTGATCTCGTGTCTACCACAGCAGAACTTGTGGAGACAGTTTCTTGCAGCTTCTCCTGTGTTGACTGCTATTTGCTTATTTCTACCGCCAGAAAAAACATTGCTGCCAACAGATTCTGTCAGCTTACATATCAGGGGTGCGTAGAGGTTCATGAGGACATCAGTGTGCAATTGTGCAGATTTATGGTTTCTTGGTTTTTTTTTTTTTTTTTTTTTTTTTTTAATATTTTCAACAGATATTATAAAACTTCTACTGCTGAGATAGAATTCCAGAGAAGACAAAAAGAATTTTTCAGCTGAGAGCATGTGGCTCAGTGTACACTACAGTAAGCAGTAGGCATATATCTCTTAAGTTACCATTAACATGTAAGTAAAACATTTCAGTTAAAAACAAGGAAAAATGGTCATCTGTAACTGTACTGTAAAAATAAAAATTCTGAATTATAATCTTTTAATTCAATTTGGAGTGTGTTGCAAGTCTGGGGAAAAACAAACAAACAAACAAAAAAAACCCAATCCAAACCTGATACATACAATGCTTCCTTTGCTTTAAGACTTACAAAGAAGTCTTGCAGGAAGTAAGATATAAAGGCAATAATAAAAAGAAATTATTAAATAAAAATCCACTAAGCTGAAAGTGTTTGTTGTGTACTGGAAAACATTGGTGAAATCACAGCTGATATATTTTTAAATATTTCAAAAATCTCTTTGGGTCTCTCCAAGACTTCTCCCCACCCTTCCTCATGCTTCCTTCAACACCTGGAGAAATTTCTCACTAGAGGATTATGTCACAGGCAGGAAATGTCTAAAGCATCTAATATGACACAACAGGGATACTTCATTATGGTATATAATGGCACCTGATTTTTTTTTTAATTTCTTTTACTTTTTGCAGATATGTACAGGGGAGAAAATATATGAAAGCAGAATACACTTGTCATGGTTTTATGATTTTTGGTTATCAGTATTCCATATCATAACACCATGTAGTGCACTGGTAGTTAAAGTGTTAATACTCCAGTTCCAGGCACTTGTCCGAAAGAGAAGAACTACATACCCCAGGAGGCTTTGCAGTCAGAGAGGAGATATAACCCCTGGCAAGGTTACCTGATGCGCTCTTCTTTGTCAGGTTCTCCTCCCTGCTGCTCAACTGGACTGCACATCTCACACCTCAGTGTTATGGTGAAGCCTATCCACCTTTTGGACACTCTTTCTCATTATGTTTGATTTATTAGCTTCAATTCTAATTATATTGTATTACAGTGTGTTATTTTTCATTCTGATACCATATTTAGTAAATTAGTTTGTTTCTCCTTAGATTGTTGCCACTGTTTTTAATTATTTTGGGGTCCTCTGTTTCCCTTTTCCGGAGGCGCAGATTTTGTGAAATCCCTCCGCCTCGCTGGTCACGGAACTGAGCCAAACCAGCCCATAAACCATTGACATTCTTGGTGGAGAATGCAGGCAAAAGCTGTTTTTTTGGCATTTATATACAAACAGCCACAAATAGATATTACCTTCATGAGAGATTTCTTTCCAAGGATTGGGTGGATACATGAAAGCAGCATTCTGGATTTGGTCATGTATGTCCTCATCTTCATTGAATGGAAAGGTACCACTGAGACTTACATAAATGATAACACCCACAGACCACATATCCAGAGATCTGTTATAGCCTTTATTCCTCAGCACTTCTGGAGCAAGGTAGGCTGGTGTTCCTACAACCGAACGTCTGAAGGATTTCTCCCCAATAATTCGAGCAAAGCCGAAATCACAAAGTTTTACCTGTTTAAGGAGAATTGTTGTAAGTAAATCAAAGTAATAAAATTAAAATTAAGTAATAAATTAAAGTAAAAACATTTTTAATAAATAAAGTAAATTAAATATTTATTTATTTATTGTAACATTTATTTATTTTATTATTTATTTATTTTTAAAAAGATTTTTATTATTAAATACAGTTGACATACTTTTATCATAGTTTAATTGTACAATACATCTTCAGAAAACTTTATTTCTTTTAACCTTCTCATAGTGATTATTCAATGGTGAACCAAGGCATTAGACTAGATTACCAATTCATTGCATTCCTTCATGTCATAAATAAACTGTAGTAGAGTGAAAGCAAAAACACAGGACAACTTAGAATGAAGGGAATGAAGTTTTGGAAGGGCCTAACTGCTTAGATTCCTTCCAAACAGAATGGTTGTTTTACAGATGACCTTTTCCTGAATGAATCAAGTTGACAGAAGTTAGTTCTTGAATTATCACTTTTTTGGACATTCAAATCTAATAATTTTGAGTAGTTCCTGGAACCAATATAGATAGATGCTTTTGTTTTTTTATAAAACAAGCAGAATTAGCACTTGTTAATTAAAATAATTTCTACTTGCCTGGGGGAAAGGATCTGCTGATGCCAATAATACATTTTCTGGTTTGAGGTCACAATGAACTATATTTTTGAAATGAAGATGTCTTAAAGCAACAAGGATCTGTGAAGAAACAAATCAGAATGAAATTCAGCTTTAAATGGGAAGTTATATATAAATTTATAAATTTTGGGGGGTTATATTACTTTGACAGCAACATTGACTAGAGAATCTAGGACTGCTGTAGAGAGAAACAATCCAACAAGAATTTATCTTTCTCTACAGTGTCACAGTGCAAGAAAAAAAAAGATCAGCTATGTTTCACTGTTTGAAACATGATTGTTCCCTCTCCAAAGATGTTATGTTCTAAACAACTTCGGGAAACTGCATTCTGAGTACGTTTCTTTGTTTTGGTGTTGTTGAAACTTTTAACACAGAAACATCTGCAAAATGGCTTTCCAGATATAAATTATTCACTCAAAAATTTTCACGGAAATATTCTGTGATCCAATTTAAGTATTTTCTTGAGGTGATAAAACAAAGAGCCTTACATGCATTTTTGTGCTGTTATGTGAACAAAATGCCAAGGAAGTGTAAGAGACATCCATCCTATCTCTGTGGTTTTAACTTCATTCCATCTGTCTGGTCAGAGGCTGCCAGAATTTTCCACTCTATTAGAACAGGCAATGGGTAGAGGCTGAATGAACCCATTAATGCAAGAAACCAAATTATAAAGTTGGTGGCAGTTTTGCCTATGAAAGTCTGAAAGCTAGAGAACCTGTTATGTTCAATTTCTAATAATAAGCTTCCACTGTAACACAACTGTTCCTGCTCCACTCTTTTTCTTGCCTTAACAAAAAACAGGCTGTTGTGACTTTGAGGTGGCTCATTACTCAGCTGTGTATCTAAATTTAAACATATTGTGGGCGGCCAAGGAAACAATATGATAACATGACAACACGAAGAATAGAAAAAAACAGACAAAAAACAAACAGATCAAATTATTAACAGATACCATACAGGAAGACAGACTTATTTTATCAGAGGTAGTTCTGAGATCCAATCTCAGTGCAGAAAAGAGGCACAGAAGATCATAGCACAAACTACAATGGTCGGGTATGGGGAAATTCAAAAGGCTCAAATTTCCTTCTGTAGTTCTTTAAGGGTTTGCTATTTGCATTTTCAAGTCCTGTCTTGTCATTAATCCTTCAAGCATAAGTGAACCCATAACTTGATGGCTCTCTCATCCAGCAGCCAGGCAATTGCATGTGTATCTATGGCTAGCAACTCTTAATGGCTTACTAGAAATTAGATAATATACACAAAAATGTATGTACCATCCCTGTTATTATTATTACAATCATTCTAATAATATTCATATTAAAGAATCATTCCATGATTCTATGATTATTATCCAGGCTTTTATGAATGAAGGAGAAAAATTATGTCAAAATCAAAACATAAGAAACAGTAATAACAACTACTTCAAATATTTTTATAGGTCTATGGATCAATTACTTACCTGAGTAATTAAAAACTTTGTTATTCTCTCTGGCAGTCTGCCTTTTTCACTTGATAAGATCATCTCCAGCATGTCTCCATGGAGTTTTTCCATAACAACAAACACTCTTTCTGGTGTCTCAAACATGCACTCCAAATTTACAACCCCAGGATGATGAAGATTCTAGTAAAAGTAAATACAACATTTGAACAACACAGATATCCCTATATGATTAGTAGATTTTATGATTACATAACTAACCTCCAGGCTCCCCTAAAACAGAAAATATTTCAGTTTTTCTTATTTTAAATTGCTTACTTCATCTGTAGGCAACAGGCATAACATTTCTAGGGATGCTATAAAAGAATGCATTAACTTAAAATTAGTTAAACATACATTATTTTGCCTGGTGCTTTAGATTGTAGAGATTACAGCTCCTAACATAACATTCCCAGTACTGTTAGTCTTGACTATTTATAAAGATTAGGCTGCAAAAATGCTAGAATTTTCAGCAAAAAATAGCCATTATCAACTGAAATAATTACATTATCTGGTATTTATTCCTTGTTCATTGTAGACTAGATGACCTTTAAAAGTTCCTTCCAACTCAAAAGATTCTATGACTTGTAAGAATGAAAAATAACAGCAAAATACCTGTAAAATTGCAACCTCATTACGAAGTTGGCTTTCCTGTTTAGTTGGAAATCTTAGTTTGTCTATTATTTTAATGGCAACATCTCTTCCTGTTTTGCGATGCTTTCCTGCATTAATAAAACAGAAGGCCTCCATCAATTAACATGATTAATACTGAAAAGTGTTCCACTTTTACTTGATTGTATAATTGACCACAAGTAAGTGGCAATTATGTACAACTATGCACAACAAAGTAAATCCCAGAGCAAGTCTGCTGCAAGTTAAATAAAGTGAAATAAATAATTGAAAGCTCTCTTCCATTTCCTTTTTCCCTTCCCTTTTATGAGCAAACTTTTTCTCACCTGACAAAGCTGTTGAAACATGTTAGGAATACAAGCATATAAAAAAATTTAGTTTTGCCTTTCAACAATATACATGTAAAATTAGCATTCTCACATACTTTTTCCTTTTCATATACTTAAAATAGAGTTCTTTGCAACTGGCAGGTCATAGGTTTCACTGGTAGTTCCAGAGTAGCAAATAATGAAATAGGTGATTGCCTTAAAGAATCTAATTTCTGTCCCAGTTTTATCAGAGACCCACAGAGATTTTTCAGTGAGAATGTTAGTTAGTTATCACTCACTTGTCTCAAATAACTGTACCTAAGCACCCTCCTCAAAACTGCTGAAAAAATGAGGAACAAAAAAATGGAGAAACAGAACGTGAAAAAAATAAATAATCCAAACAAACTATTAAGAACAAAGAAAAAAGAATCACAAAGTTGTGCCAAGAAAAATAGCAAGAAGTGATGACTTTCTCCCCTTTCTTTCACTTTCTTTCTCCCTTTCTCCCTTTTCTTTCTTTCTTTCATTACCTAAGAAATATACTTCAATTCTCTTCTCAAAGAGAGACAGTTCTGTACTTTGGGGCCTGCATTACTACAGCTACATTACTACACTACATTATGACATTACTACAGTTATTAAGTATACTAACCTGTTGTTGGCAGAAAACTTCATAACAACAAAAGACCTTGTCAACACTAAGTAGTGCCCATCTTTAATGAATATTACTTACATTAAACACTGGGTAGCTAATTTCTGTAATAAAGTACTTCACAATCCAAATGCTTTCAGGTTTGCTGAATTTTTTCAGCCTTAAGCATAACTGTACAACTAACCAGAAACCTACCTCCATAAACAATTCCAAACTGTCCTGATCCCAACACCTCATCTGGGAAGATCTGGTATACAGTGCTGATATCCTGCTTACATAAACACAACAAACATTAATCTCCGAAATATGGGAAAAAAATATATATATTTGATCAGTGTGCATACATGTACTCTACAGTACATTTCAAAACACGCCTGCCAGAACATTAATGAGAGTTTTCTTAAAAGAATCAATAACCAAAATTGCAGCCTCATCTTATTACAAAAAATATTGGATGTGTTAGTGGTGACAAGAAAAGGTTTATGATAGCCTTACTAAGTTCAACAGAAATGCCATGTATTAATGACTTCTGCTTGCTTTCCTTTAGGTAATTAACAATCTGAAAAGATAAGTTGTTAAATTCTGTTTTAAGCTACATAACATCTATGTAATAGTTGTGTCTCAAGGAAAAGATACCATGAAATTGACTTTTTTCAAAAGTGAATAATGCTAATCATTTGTTACTTTCTACAGTGTAAGTAGGAAAAAATGGCTGATTGGAACTCTTCTCTAACATTCCTTTTTGCAAAACAGATCAATGACTTCACATACTTAATCATATCATATCTAGCAGAAGCATTCAGAGAACACTCACCACATTTTCTTGAACTTGGCAGTTTGACACAGAAATACTGATGGATATGTCCCCTGGGGAAGAAAGTAAAATATACTTGAGACAGCTATGCTTTCAGTTCGGACATGTAATAATAACAAATGACATTAACATGACATCATTATTTTCTGATGACTGTAGAAATTGGACCAATTAGGTCAGCTTGTTCATCTACCAGACAAAACCAAATTACACCACCTCACAAATATGTGGCTTCAACAATAGACTTCTGTAGTATATGGGAAAGAACAGAATTACGCACTTCATTACCAAATTTTATAGTGGAATCTTATATTTCTCATGTATAAGCTTCTTACTGCTTTATTCCATTTTATTTCGGGGCTTTTTATCTTAAGCAAGTAACATGATATCAACCAGGGAAAACTTTCATTTACTATACTTCAGTGTACTGAACTAGATGATCTTTAAGGTTCCTTCAAAGCCAAGTCACTCTATGATGCTATTCAGACTAGAGCTAATACTTTTTCATATTGCTATGCGTACTGCTAAAAGGAATAGGTATTTCAACTGGCAAAAGAGATATTATTAATACACAACAGAAATAAAAACTTGCACTTATGCTTTAATATGACAATTGTGAGAAGCAACTTGTAATAATTCAGAGCTTAGGACGTTACCATAACTTTTTTGATTTGCAAATCCACGGAGAACCTAATAAAACTGGAGAATAAGTTTGCTGCTGACTGTAGCACTCAAAGAAGTTATTTTTGGGGGTTACTTTGGAGCACTGATGCCTCTGTCTCCTATCTCTGTTTAGAATCCTGCTCAAGATTTTCATTTTTTCAGTATGAATTTCAGCCTCATTTAAATCAGTGTCCTATTCTATAAAGCCTGTATTAAACTCTGCATAAAATCACTACTACCATCTCCACCTCTCCTAGCAGCAGAAAGTAGCACAAGTAACTTCTGCTCAAAATGACTTATTTCCTTGTCCTCTCCTTAGGAATATATTCGTTTTGGAATGGGATGTTTTGGTTTCATACAGGATTTTTAGCATTGCTAATTTGTTTTCAAATGTACGTGCTTCTTTGTGTTTGCACTAAAGATAATATTGACACGGCCCTTCAAAGGGGGCATACAAGAAAGCTTGAGAAGGACTCTGAATCAGATAGAACAAGGGGTAACAGCTTTAAATTAAAAGAGTGAAGATTTATATTAGATATTAGAAACAAATTATTTCTAATTCTCTTCAGCTAGTGGTGATGCACTGGCAGAAGAGAAGTATGAATTAACAGAATAAAATTTTGAACTTCTAAGCAGGCAAAGGAGAGAGCTATAATTCTTGGTCGAGCATTTTAGATGATATATTTAACTACACTGATCTCAAACCAGGAGCACTAGGCAACCAACATGACTGGAATGACATCCAAACTTGACAGTATTTCATGTAGGAACATAGCTGAGAAAGAAAAAGACAGAGATGATCTATTCTGATATGTGAGCTGTTGTGCCTGCAGATGTATGCCACAGCCTGTTGTACTATTTAGTTCCTGAAGGGCTTGCTGTCTCATTAGTATTTCACACTGCATTAATAGCATCCAGATGTCAAGTGCTAAAGCACATCTATGTTGCAACACAAGGTCTGATCCAGTTTGTGTAGACATATCTGAATTTGCTTTAAACTGAGTAGGCTAAGTACAATTAGCAAAGAAACCACAGCCGCACATACTCGGTAGTGGTGAACTGTTTGGTCTGTACTACTTCGTTATCAGTACCTCAAAAGATATAAACCAGTTTCATGTTTGTTTACATAATGTCCTAGCTTTGGTAGGGAATTATCCAAAAGTATATAAATCAGAGGCAAAGATATATTTAGCCCTTTTGGTCCTGGGTAACATCCATACCTCACTGTGAACAGAACAGCTGTTCTTCACACTTGAGTTCATTTCATCTCATCATGGGAGAATGTTTGTGGCAGTTGTACAACCAAATGTGATGAAAAGAAGCATATAATCTATGCTGCAGTGACCTAAAGAGTGAATGGATGCTTCTGCGATATATAGCAATATAAATTACAATAACAATGGGAAACATCTATCAATTCTCAACTGGAGCTCAGAAAACTTCATGCCACTTCGCAAGGAAGCTGTCATTCTTGTCAGCAACACACAAATATGGAAGAGATGCCTTAGGAGTAGAACAACTATTTGCTCACTATCAAATTTGCACATTGTATATTAACACAGATGACCTAATATAAACTGGAAATACATGAATGAAAAATTGTGGCTTTTAAAGTATACAGACAGTTGATAAGCCTTTACTAGTTGGGCAATATTTCCATGCAGAAGATTGAGCCATGCTATTTGTTAATGACTGCATTTATCTGAAATGGAGGAAACATACTTACTGTGTAGGCTGGGTCCTGACCCCATTGATGCACCTTTAGGGATGACAGGCATCAGGGCATGCTGTATTGCAATCTCCCACATTCTTGCCACATCTATGCCAATACCACTAGTGAGAACACCATTATTCAGTGGAACACTTGAGAGGTTTTCTATGTTTTCTCCAACATAATAGACTATATTTGCTGTGCTTATTTCAAAACAATGAGGATTGGCTCCTTGAGGCAGTAAAGTGAAAGTTTTTGCAGGTTCCAGAGAGAAAATTTCAGACAGTGGAATTTCCTAAAATAAAAAAAAAAAAAAAAATCTGTGTAAAGATCATCAACATATAAAACTAAGACATGAATTTTATTTCACTATTTTATAACATTAGATCTTGCTTTTATCCACATGTTTCTCATACGAACAAAAAGGTTCTTGTAACCTGGAACTCCTTGACACAGAGGCCTGCTGAGTGTAAAATAACAAATGTTTTTTTCCAAGTAGAAATTTAACTATTTGCAAACTTACTTGCAAAGAACTCCGTAAATAAAAGCATAATGAATATATATTCCAAATGCATATTTCACATAGACATGAACTTGGTTGTTACATCTTGAATAAGACTAAAGGACACATTTTACTAACTTCCTCTGGAAGGAGTTTAACCGCTTCAGGTAGAAGGATGCAAGAATTAAAATAATGTTTTACAATTTAAATCACAACATAATTTCCAAAGGACAGAATTAAAATTATATGTACAACACTTTATTGTTTGGAAACAATTTATATAATGAACAACAGAATGTCAGATGAGCTTCTTGGCAAAATTTGTCACTCGTAGCGAATTGCCCCGATATAAAACTTTTCATTTGCATAACATATAACGTAACATAATAATAACACTTTTCTGATTTGACACTTGCTTGTGAAATGCAATACCCACATATGCAAGTAAGGTAATGAAAACAAACAGTTCCAAGTTGTGCTACTAATGCAGCTTTAGTATTTATTTATTCAGCAATTCACTCTAGTCATTACTTTTTGATAGCAGAAAAAGAAATTGAAAAATATTCCTTACCTTATAATATTTACTTCCAGTATCATTTTGAAAAAGAGTAATACATTTGCTGTCTAGTCTCCAGTAGTGTCGCTTTCTCTGCAAAGAAAAATAAGGGGAAAATTTTTCTACCAATTTTCAAGAAGAAAATTTCAAGAAAATTAAAGAAATGCTCTTTTCTGAAATGCACCATTTCCAAAAGTTTACGTTTTCATCTGAAGGGATGAACTGGGAAGGATAAAGTTTCATTCGCTATTACAAAAAATTTATGAGGCCTTTATGTTTGAGTTAAGGTTTTATAAGTTCATCTTTTATCGTACTAATGTAGCTCTGTTCAACTAGTCCATGTTTTGGAAGTTTAACATGTCATTATAGTCCCAAGGTTACACTCAGCAGTTGTGTTAATAAAATAAATCAACTTTCTTTTTCTATTGGTAGTAGCTCACTTTAGAAGGCCTATACTGACATTCTGATTCCTGTTTTTGCAGGTCTGAATGAAAACAACTTATTATTATTATTATTATTATTATTATTGATACCTTTATTTTACAAAAGTATAAACTCACCTAACAGTAAGATAGATATCTTACTGTTAGGTGAGGAAACAGTAGCTGGAAGATAAAGATACTTTCCAGAACCTCTAAAATGTTAATTCTTTTTTACTTTCTTCAGAATGTCTTCATATTTGGTCTGTGATAATGCAACTCACAGATTCAGATACTACTGTGTGTTTTAAATGTCTCCTGGTACGGTGAAATAACTTTCTTACAAGCTCTGCCACAGATTTAGTACTATGGGAAATATAGATGTTGTAAAAATGGCATATAAGAGTGACTTTAAATTATTAATGTACTATTAGAATTTTCATTCTGAACAGTTATATAGCATGTGAAGTAATGTCTTTCTTAATATTTCTTACCAGTGTGTCCTTGCTGGTATAGTGAACCATCCAACCTTCTTTCATTACTGTGCTGCTTCTTCTTTTTGTGTGCTTCACAGACTGTACCACTCTCATTAATGGAATATTGTTGCTGGTTGAAGGGCTTAAGAATAAATCAGTAAAGTCTTTTTAAAAGAGAACAATTTTAGACAAATAGAAAAAACATTTTTTATATGCACATTAACATCTGTAGCCACTAACAGACCTGGACCAGACACTATTTAGTTTTGTCAGTCCAAGTGTCTTGAGAGTACAAAGGGAAAAAAGCTGTAATTGCACAACAGGAGAAAGTCAGAGACCAATAGAAAGTTTACATACGCAACATACACAAAATATTCCCCAAGATAGCTAAGATGATGGGCAAATGACTAGGGCCTCAACTAGAGTTGGGAAGAAATAGCGCAAGCATATGCTATGCATGATTCAGAGCATCACTTGATCTAGAATCTCTCATAAAGTAAGCATTGCCCATCAGATTACTGTCTTGTGATCTTTCTTGGGTTCACACACACTGTGGAGTTACGACAGTTTACAGTAGAAAATGTGTCAACTAGCTGTGCATACACTGCTAGAATACAGCAGAGAATCTGCATGAACCTCTCACAGAAGGAGGTTTAGGATAATGCAGTTTATCTTCAAAGACTTTAAGCAAAGTGTTACTGCCCTGTACTTGCGTATGCATGCTGAAAACTTCCAGTGCTCAGCACAGTAACTCAGGAAGTCATGGGAACTTGACAGTATGCCTGATAGCACAATCAGATAAAACATGGAACATCTCATTGAAGAGATTTATGAAATAACAAAGCCAAATGGAGTTAACGATTACTAGAGCAGACTCAGCATAATGGAATCATCTGCTTCATCATCTTCTTAAATCCCAAACATAAATGCTTAGTCATTTCTGGCAGAATTTGAGATTCTGCATCCTACATGAAAACAGCACTGAGTTCATGCCGTGATCAGACAGGCTGCATGTATATATTCTTGTCAAAGAAATTTCCTTTTTTATTTTCCTTTTATAGACCTCTGAAAAATAATTCATGAACATGGCAAATACCCTTATAAATATGAGGGCTGCTCTGAAAGTAATATCTCCTATTTTATTATGTTGCAGCAAAACATCAGAGGGGGTTGGTAGTAATATGGAGACAAAGGCTGAGCCTTCCCACCAATATTCTGTTACAGTTTGTTGCCATATGACAGATGGCAGCAGAGGGACACTGGGACAAAATGGCATCTGACATGGAAGTGTTGATGAAGCAAAGGTGAGGAAATGAGTTTTTCTTTGCAGAAAAGATAACACCCATTCACATTCATCAGCGCTTGCTGAACATTTACAGGGACTAAACAGAGGATGTGAGCACAGTGAGATGGTGAGTGGTGCATTTCAGCAGTGGCAACAGCAACATGAGAAACAAGTCACATTCTGGACAGCCATGTACTGCTGTCACATGATGAAATGAAGAGCGTGTTGATCTGCTAATTCCTGCAAATCGGCAGATTATGTTCAGGGAACTGTATACAAAGCTGAATATCAGCTTCAGTGTTGTAAACAATAGTAACAATGTTGAAATATCACAAAGTTTGTGCCAGGTGGGTCCTGTGAACAATACCCTATGAAAGTCTGCCAGGATCTACTGGACCAGTTTGAGGTTGAAGGTGACAGTTTCCTGCATCACATCATTGCCAATGATTAAACATGGTGTCACCACTATGAGTAAAAAGTAAAAATGGCAGTCCACGGAATAGCAACACATAAATTCCTCATCAGAGGAAAAGTTCAACGCAATCCTCAGAGGGTAAAATGATGTGCACTATCTTTTGGAATAGGAAATGTGTGACTGTTCTGGATTTCCTGGAACCCAGACAAACCATCAACTTTGAGCACTACATCACAACACTATCTAAGTTGAAGGTTTGAACTTCCAGACTCCAGCCAGAAAATAAGACATCCTTTCTCGTTTTACAGCAGGCCCTATGCCATTTGGAAGACCATGGACCAATATTGGCTGGATTATCCTACCACACCCCTCATATAGTTCAGAATTGGAGCACTTTTACTTCTATCTGTTCAGGCCAATGAAAAACGGGCTGTGTGGGTGACATCTTCCTAGCAACAGCACAATCATAGCAGCTGTGAATCTGCAGGTCACTTCCACTGGTGCAGATTTTTAAAAGTGTCGGAAAGTGTTTTTATAGGTGTGCAGGCTCTTGTTCTTCACTGATAAAAATGCATAGCTAAGGGTGGTGATTATGTTGAAAAATAGAAGTTCGTAGCTGAGAATTTGCTCTATCAAATAACGTTATTAGGTCTTTGTGACATATGTAGTCAGTGGAAGGTATTTCTGGAACTTCAGGGATGCCCCTCAACTAAGTAAAACAAGTAACTGGTTTATCTGCAGATAATTCAGTATCTCTATTTTAAAGAACTCAGTATGCCATCCATGCAGTGTGACTTAGACATTCAAGATGATATTACAACATTGAATTTTGTGATAAAAAGCAGATGCTTATATTCTAATGATATATGTCTATATATAAGTACCTATGTAGAAGAACATGTTTACAGCTTGCTGCTGCTGATAGTAAAACTGCTAATTGCTGAAATGGATAACTTTCAATTAGAGCAAAATGTTTGTGTCAGTGAAAGAGAATTTAGGGGAACATGCTTCAGGAAAAGATTCCTAGTATGCAAAATAAGAGGAACTGCAGGTTAAACTGGCATTCATGAAGAAAAAATATCCTATAATTGTTCTTCAAAGTAAAGAATCCTTGCTCCAAAGAAACGAGAGAAGAAAAGACCTTAATACATTTTTGGTTCACTGACAATCAATCTCTACTTTTTTTCTCTAGTACTCTGCAGTTCTAATAAGCAAAAATGATATTTTTCTTCTCCTCAGACATTTCTACAGTAAATCGCACAATTCAATTCCTTTTTTTCTTCTGATTGGTCATTTCAAAACACTGATTTATTTTGTAATTTTCTTGAAACTCATAGTTTGTTAAGAGTTCCTTCTTTCTGAAGATATATGAAAATGCAAGCAATACATCTAAGGCCAATTATATCATAGTCAATTGCACAGGGTTTTTTGTTCTGTTTTGTTTTGTTTGGCTTTCATCTATATAGCCAAGTATTTCACTTCCAGTTGGGAAAAAATGTTTGGGAAAAGAAACACATTTTAAAAAATATTCTCTGTTGCTGATTTACAAATGAAGTTCAACAACATAATTTTCAGAAAAGAGCAGATATGTAAAAAATACAATCTTTTGAACAAAATTTCAGCTTGACAATTACATTTAAATTCCTTTTAAAATCCTAGTGCAGGAAATAATCTCATCATAATTTCAGAACCATCACATATCACTAACTCTCTCCATCCTGAATGAGTGAGAATGCAGTTCATTTAGATTTCTCCTTCAGTCTTAGGCATAATATAAGGCATAACAAATACAAAAGAAGATGGAAGGTTCACCTGATCATCCTGTTAGACTCATCATGATCTGGATCAGGATCCTGCATTTCCCCATTGTCACTATGGCATCCCGTCATTGAAATCTCAGAGTCATGAGCTATAGATTCTTCCATGTCATCTATAAAACTGCTGTTTCTTTCACTGTCATTGTCGTCACTCCCTTCTTCCATGACCACATCAGACTCAGCCCCAGGACTAAGGAGATCTGGAATATTATTTCTTGAATTATTATCTGAACACATACAATACTCCAACCACAACATCCTAACGTATTTTGAGCTTCAGAAAAACCCAGGTTCTTTCTGGAATTCTACTGTCTGAGTCTCTATGCATTCAGTGTGTAATGGTGAAGGTGATCTTTAACCAACCATTTCGAAAATCACTACAGAAAACTGGAAACACATTAAACTGGAGTATTTTCAGAACTACAACTTTCTACTAAAAAGCTACCAAAGCCAAGGCAGAATTTCTTATCCATAGACTTCTATTCAAACATTCTATACACATGAGTGTTATTTCTGAGATCTTCTGGCAGATTTTCCATGCAGCTTGAATGTTGTGCACTGACTTGATGGCTGTTGGCAGGCTACAGCTGCAAACTGATGCTAGAAAAGCAGAAATTTCAAAACTAGAAATTTTGTAATATGATGGTGACATGATGATGAACTATTGAAACAACTCCCAAGATGATTATTTATAATGTGAATTATTTATTTGTGCAGAAAATGTATTTGCTTTGCACTGGTGCTCCCTATGAAGACTGTACAATATGGACAGTAATCCATTCTAATGAAATGACATTCCCTGCCCTTAAGAAGGAAATATTTAATTAATATAAAATAGCTCTATGTAATATAGTACTGAAAAAACAATGATGTTTTAAGTTTTAGCACACAGTGCATAATATAAACAGTATAAATATATTAAAGAAGTTTATGTTCAAATAATGTTAAACTTTCTCATTTGTTATTAAATTTGCATAGCAAGATCAAAGAAACAACTTTTTACTGTACTCTTGCTTGCAAATGGATTAATCTGGAAGACTGAAAAAGAGAAAAAAATTACTTAGCTAAAGGCTTCATTACAAAAAAGAAAAAAACGCACAGAAAATCAACAATGAAAAAAGAAACCAATGAAAAAAGTCGAAATTATAAATTCTGTCAGGTATAAAAACTTTATTTTTCTGGATAATTTGCACTGTCTCAGGACCCACTCAGAGACTCATGGACAGGAATTTTACACAAAGTCTAATCACAGGAAGATATCAAATGTTCTCACTAAGAAATTTTCACCAAATTTTGTGTAGGCAAGTTCTTGACAGTCAAAATAGGGGATGCTCCAAAACAATAAGAGCATTGAGATGACTGCTGGAAAAATGATTTGAACTGATGGTATTTCACTGGAACTGGAAGTGTATGGCTGAAACATTTGTTTCCATACACAGTAGTTTTCAAATGTTTATATATAAGTTTCTGATGTATGACTAAGAGACACATTATACTTAATTCCTAGCTGAAACAGTCATCCAGTCATGAATGATATTTCACAGTTCAGGACTCCCTTTTTGCTATTCATACAGCATGGCTTTATATCTCTATTTTTAATAAACCCACAGCCAGTTAAAAATATCCTCCCACATTTAGTGTTTAATGTATATATTAATGAGACCATGCTTGAAATTTTATTGCTTCAGCTCTTCCTTCACTTACTATTTTGGGGAAGATGCATCACACAGCAGATGGAAAGAGTGGCAGATACGGTATTTTATTTAGTAAGATGGAAATTAATGTGAACCAAATTTCTGTAAGAATAGAAATGAGACACCAGAATGAAATTGCCTATGAAAAGTCTAAGGACCACATGTCATTCATTTAGACACAAAGTTAAGAGTTATACTATAATGCTATGGATACTACTTTATGGAAATTGGTGAGGAAAAGCCAAGTTCTAGAATTTCTACAGCAGAGAGCTCCAAGGACCTAAGAACTAATTCTGCAGAGTTACACAAAAAGAAGTTTAGCGCTTTCTAAAATACTGCATGGAGTAAGCACTCTCACCCCTTAGTGGCTTTGTACAAGCTTCCCTCACTTAGTTTTTCCTCAGAGAAAGCATTACATCTCATCAGTCTGCTGTCAGATTCGTGGTTGGAGGAAAGCAAACAAAAAACAGTGTGTTACTTGTCAGGCAAAGGCATGGAGGGGATAAAGATTGTGTTGAAGGAATGAAGTACAGCTGTCTGAGACGAAGAGTGGGAAATCAAAAGAGTGACAGAGAAACAAATGCAAATTTGTTTCATTTAGTCTAGCTGTCCAGAAATAAGTCCTGCTTTTCCACCTTAAGACTTCTGATCAATCCCATTTTGCACTGTCCTCTAAAATCACACCTAAAATGCATGCAGTAGAAATTTTATCATCTATAAGCAGACTTAGTGACTTCCTCTGGCTCTGCAAATCTCTGCTCACAACTATTTATAAACTTAAAAAAGGAAGATGTATACAAGATTGGAAGATGCATAAAAAGGATTTTTCTAAGCTACTCAAGATTTCTACACAGAAAACTCCATACTGTTATCAATGAGTTTAGCACATTTTTAGCTTTTGGATTTGAAACTAAGTCTACCCCTCTCCATAAGCAAGTTATGGGACAAGTAATGGTTAAGAAAGGTACAAGAGGTGCAAATTTAAGTTCCATATTAACATGTGGAAGAACTTCTTTACAGTAAGTGTGATGGAGCACTGGAACAGGTTACCCGGAGATGTTGTGGAGCATCCTATGGAGATACTCAAGACTCCTCTGGATGCCTACCTGCCTGAAACATTGTAGGTGCCCTGCTTATGGAAGGGGGGTTGGACTCAATGGTCTCTTGAGGTCCTTTCCAACCCATGTGATTCTATGTAATATTAAAAAATACTGGAGATTCCAAGAGCTAAATTTGAGGTGTACGACAGTGGATATGCACTTGGAGAACCACATCAATATTCCCAAAAGTCAGGATATTCAGCATCTAAAATGCTTTTGCCTATGTTAATTGCCATTAAACAGAAAAAACTTTGCAGTAATATAGTCACACAAATATGAAAAATTACTTAACACTTTTGATTTTAGTATTGTTGGTACCTTTTCAATAAAGAAAATCATTGGTTTAAAGTTTGAAAAAGGATATCTAATGAAGCAAAACCTTCTCAACCTCAGATGCAGTTTAGGCTGACAATATGATAATATGCATTAGACACTGAACACTTTACCACACTTCTCATTCCTTTATCACAAAGAAAAGTGATATTTTCAAGGCAATCAACAACTCATCTACAAAAACCCTTTTTTTCTCCAGTACTGTCCATCAAGCCTAGCCATACATTTCTATAGTTGACACAAAACTGACAGCACATATATGGGAAATTCTGTAGACAATCAAGCTTTCAATTCTGGCAACTGATACGATTAGTTTTATCCCAAATGGCCTTCAAAGTTCTCCCAGTATACAGTTCCTTCTCTGGAAGATTATCCCAAAACAAACAAACTTCTTCCCTTCTCAAATTAAAAACCAATTTTGTGTTTTTATCTACTGCATGAAAGCTTTCTTCTCATGCATTTGGCTCTTCAATTTACTTTGGCATTCTGTGAGCAACGATCACCCAGAAGTTTTGCTGCTGAAGCCACCCCCGTGGCATGGTTGAGCCTGCCTCTCAGCGCTGTATTTTGAAGACCTGTGCTCCAAAATGACAATGTATGAACTATTTATAGGGTTCCTCCCACACTTCATCTCCAATACAAGAAATATCTTAGTGGAAAGGCTACTCCCAAGCAGTGGAAAAAGATGTCTTTGTACACATAGGCTTTACACTTCTCTGTTATCTAACTCGTGGTTTAAACAATGACAGAAACAATTGTTAAAGTAACTTACCTCCATTAATGGCAACTTCCCCCAGGCAGTTATTTGGTACTTTAGGAGCACAGCGCTTGTGACAATTGAACCTACAGTCTGGCAAGAGAAAAGGAACATAATATAATTATTTGTCTTTTTCACTGCCACAGTTTCATTTCTTTTTCCTGCAATAACCTATAACTGTCAAGCTCAATCATTTCACTAGCACAAAGTTAACTTAACATGATCAGAGAGAACTAGCCTGGCCACATGCCATTTGCCAGTACAGCAGACAGGATGAACACACCAACAGCCTCCCACAGAGAAGGAAAGCAGTGCTTACAGCAATGGCAGGAAGCTTTCACTGCACCATGTGCTACACTGATCTTGGGGAGCAAGTTGGATACCTGTGCACTTGGCTGAAAAACCAGAGATAATTTCTACTACAAGTTGCAGATCAGGCTGCAGCACATCCACTTCAGCTTAGACATTTGACTACATATCAAATACAAAAGAAAACTGAAGAAGCAGAATCTTAGCTAGCAATTTTACATGAGGAATACTTGCTCTTTGCATCATCAAGCAACTTCTAGACAGTTTTAAGTGAAGGCCCTCATTCACAGATATTTTTACTACTGTCTACTTCTACATTCTTCACATCTGTAAATGGCACTTTATTAGATGTCATTTCAATTATTTTCTTTTGGCTTATGGAACACATTTTACTTGAACTCAGAGCTGTAATTTATTTAAAGAGCTTGAAAAGCAAAGTCTGGAAGGAAAAAATATATTAGAGATGCCTCTATCCTTGTAATTATTTAACTTCAGATTGATTCAAAAACCAACCAAGGGACTGCAGTGCCAACAAGCTTTTTTTTTCTTTTTCTGTTTTTTTTTTTTTTTAATTCTCATATAAGACCTTATTGTTTTACATCCACTAGAATTCCCCCCAAACTTCTAACTGCTGAGAAGAATGTACATGCTATAATTAAAGCACAAAAACTTGCAGATAGAAAACAATGAAGATTAAGAATATGGCTCTACGTGTTAACTATTCTGCTGTAACTGCCCATGAGCACACTATCACCTAGTGACAAACAAAATAATCTACACCTTAGTGACAAAGATGTAAGGTACCTCAGCTATACCACAGAGTAATAATAAATAGCATGCAGCCAGCTCTTGAAGAACTAGTGTAATTGTGATCCCAGCATAATCCAATGTAATTGATCATGTGACTACATATGGACACTTTGGTAAAGAAATCCTGAGTGAACCTACATATCAGTTACTCAAATGTTAATTTACTAATTTTATTATGCTTAGCTTTTACATACCTAGAGAAAGTTTACTTACCTTTACACTGCAAACCCTGTCTAAAAAGCCCTTTGAGAAGTTTCTTACAGTACTGGCAAACTGTTGGCCGTGTGTAAGAGTGGATGACAAATGTGTGAGGCACTTTAACCTTAGAAAGCAGGATCTTGTCGAGCTGAATAGGTCGTCCAATGTAGGATTGTGAATTTGATCTCTTCTCTCGCCCAGTGAATGATTCTGACGGCGTTTTTTGCTGAGCAATACATAAAAGGACATTTAAAATAAATAATGATTTATTCATTTTTAAAAGCATAACATACATATGCCTCACAAATATTAAATTATCTGTCATAAAAAGCATACTTTGCTTTTAAACACTAACAGAATATGCAACATGCCCCTGCCTGAGATTGTTTTTAAAAACTTAGATTGGTATCAAATAATATGTTTGCTAACACTAGCATCATACATTTCACAACGTGGATAAACCTGTGTTGCTGTTGTTGATTTTCAATTTAAAAACAGATTTTTATAAAAATGAAAAGATTCATTAAAAATTTCTCAGAAAAACATTTTTTTGGTTCTGAGTGAAACAAGAACCAATTTTTTCCTTCTCTCCTATTTCCTGTTTTATACAAAGCTATACTTTGAAAAACTACTTTTGTACAAACATTAAGGAAATTGTTATCTTGATCTATGCACATGCAGGTTTTTGATAAAAAGCAGATCAGTATCTCTCATCCACTTTACTCATAACTTTTGCTATTGCTAACCTTAGCACATTCAGATTATGCATGACAAATCAGAGCAGATATTTATATTTCTCTTTATAAATACACATGAATTGAGACACACTTTCTCTAAGAAATAGAATAAAAAAATTCCTGAAAGAAATAAGTTACCATATTTTTCTGCTAAATACATTTAGATGTAAATATGGTAAATAACATGGACTTAGAAAACTGTGTACTCCTAAGAACTGCCTTGAGGAACAAACTACACCCACAGTTAACATAGAAAAGAAAAATACAGTAACAAGATGCAACTTAATCTTTTAAAATTCATCATTTTCTTGCTTGTTGAAAAAATATGTTCAGGAAATTGAAGGCTAGAAAATGAGCCATTCTCTATTTGGCCTCCACTAGTCAAAGGCTGCAGTAGCTGAAACCTTGGATTGGCCTAGCTTGGAAAACTATTTTCCTTCAAACTAATAATGTTACAACAAAGCTGTCATCCTTAGAGACCAATTATTATTTCCTGCTCACTAAAATATAAGTCAATTTCTGTATGCTTCTGTCTGAGAACCTTGGAGCAAGGGGAGATTTGTATGCCATTTTGGTGGTAAACAAACCTGAGGAGTTCTAGCCTTGTCTTCACAGCATATTTGCCAAAGAAACAGAAAGATAATTCTTACAAAAACCAGATGGGTTTCTTACTGTAAAGACCAATTTCTTTTCTTTTGGCTATATTGCATAACTATCTCTTTCCAAAGAAGCACACGCAATAGATTTGTTGAACATTAGAGCTTCCCTACTATCTGACAACAATGCCAGCTTCACACTTATGCAGTGTATAAATGCAGGCCTGTCAGTCAAGGAGAAATATGCAAAATACACTGTATGAACCACGTGCATATATTCACCATAAGCAAGTTAGTTTGAAATAAGTGTAGGAAAGTGTCTGTCTTCTCTTCACCACATATAATAACAGAAAATGTACAAGTTCATGCTTTGATGTTACATGTTTACTTCCTTCCTGAGCCTTCCATCTCTAGGCTCTGTAATGCACCTATACATACAAAAAAACTAGCTTCAGTTTAGGATTAAAATTGTTTAATATTGATCAGTTAGTAATACTCATAGAATCATAGAATGGCCTGGGTTGAAAAGTACCTCAAAGACCATCTTGTTTCAAGCCCCTGCCCTGGGCAGGATCACCAACCCCTAGACCAGGCTGCCCAGAGCCACATCCAGCCTGGCCTTGAATGCCTGCAGGGATGGGGCATCCACAACCTCCTGTGGCAACCTGTTCCAGTGTGTCACCACCCTATGCGTGAAAAACTTCCTCCTAATATCTAACCTAAACCTCCCCTGTCTTAGTTTAAAACCATTCCCCCTTGTCCTATCGCTATCGATCCATGTAAACAGTCATTTCCCCTCCTGTTTATACATTGCTTTCAAGTACTGGAAGATCACAGTGAGGTCTCTTTCTCATCTCCAAGCTAAACAAGCCCAGTTCCCTCAATCTTTCTTCATAAGAGATGTGCTCCAGATCTCTGATCTGGATCCAGATCTTATTGGCCCTCCTCTGGACCTGTTCCAAGAGCTCTGCATCCTTCTTGTGCTGGGGGCCCCAGGTCCCCAGCAGTACTCCAGATGGAGCCTCACAAGAGCCGAGTAGAGGGGGACAATCACCTTCCTCTTCCTGCTGGCCACCTCTTTTTTAATTCAGTCCAGGATATAATTGGCCTTCCAGGTTGCAAGTGCACACAGCTGGCTCATGTCCAGCTTCTCATCTACCAGCACCCTTGAGTCCTTCTCCCCAGAGCTGCCCTCAAAGAGTTCTTTCCTCAATCTGTATAAATACCTGGGAGTGTCCCAGCCCAAGTGCAACACCTTGCACTAGATTGATACCACAGCAGTCTTAGTGCAGTGCCTTAAAACAGTCACTCATCCTCAACCCATGCCATAGTCAGGCATCTAGCTCAGAATGTTATATACAATGCACAAGACTAAAACTGTTGTCCTATCTGATGTATTATATTTTTAACGGAAGTATATTATTTTTAAATAATTCTTTAAAGATTTGTTTTAACCCTAATCTCACAAAACCTACCCCTGCAGTTCCCCCAGGGACACTATAAACACCTTGCCCCATAAACTCAACAGAGCTATCTAAGGTATTAGTCACAAAATTTGATGTCTTTGTCTTCAAATGGACATTGGTGGAATTTTAATGTGGTGACACAATTAAAATGTATTTTCACGAAACAAAACTGATGGAGAGAAGTAAAAATTTCTAAGGAGAGTTATATTGTTTACTTTTATGTTGTTGCAACAAATCAATATTTCAGCTTGCTAAGCAATTTCTTGACAATCTTACGGTTTTTTGAAGCATAAGCAATCCAAATGTCTCCTAACATGCTCTTGCTAAAATCACCAATTAGTACCATCTACATAAATGAAATCTACTTTGTATTGTTGTACTAGGTTCTGTTTTCAACATTATTGTTGACTGAAAAATTATTTTAGCAATTGAATACTGCTAAAATCTTTCCTCAAAGGACTTCAGAAAGTTGACTTGGCTTGCCTTTACTCACCAAATAGCTAGCAGGTTTTGGAAACTTCAGGAGTGCTGCTGAAATGTACTGAGACTAACTTTAGGTACCAGTACGATAAACTGAGAGAGGCAAAATTTTCCCTTCACGGCCTAATCCCATGGATTGGCACTCTTTCCTCTTCCAACAGAGGCAACATAAAATCTGCTTCTGTCGGGTAGCAAGTGCAGGGAAGTTGGGTGGCATGAAACACAAAGGTCACTCCACAACACCAGGGACTGACTGCTTAGGAGAACCATCTAAATTTACAGGTCATGATCTTCTCCTCCCAATACCTTCCAAAATAGTTTTCAACATCCCTTAACTTTAATTTCCACCATCCAGCATCAGGCACATGCCATAATTTAAAATTCCTAAAAGGAAAACAGGAACTACACTATTTTCATAGTAAAAGCAAGACTCTTGCACAAAAGCACCTTCTTTTTTGCTGGTGAGCCTGGTTTGTTAGAACGATAAATTAGTTTTTCCTGGTAGTGAGCCAGACTACTGACTCAGCAACTCTGGAAACTTCCCAGGAAATGATTGCTTAACTGGATTACACCATGGAAACTAACAGCCTGCACTGCTCCAAACACTAAACAGTCCTTCTAACAATCACGCTAGCAAGGTAATCTATATTTTAACAGATTAGAATATTATCTTCCAAGTGACAACAAAAACAAAGGAACATGTGAAATTATTTAACTGCATGGATATTCAATCAAGCCAGTGAAATTGATCCAGTATTGCCTTGAGTTATGAAAATATCAGAACCTAGTACTTGCTTATTTCTTATTTTAGAAAAAAAAAAAAAACAAAAAACAAAACAAAACAAAAAAAAAAAAACAAAAAACAGATGAGGCTTTCTTTCTCTCTTTCAAGAATGGAGAAGTGCCAAGCTGTTCCCCGACACTCCATTCTACATATTGCTTATTTTCATTAGCTGATCCCTTGCCCCTCATTCTTGATCAATATCTTCAGATTTTTGGAATGTCCTGAAACTGTATATCATTTGTTAGACTTTGTTAAAAGCTACTCAAGAAGAAAACTATTTGCCTACAGTAGGCAGAAGCACAAAGTCATTGTGCAGAATCATGTCACTGCAGAAAGGAAATAATCCTTCTTATAATTTCCACTCCAAAAGTAAAAACCCCTCAGCAGGCCAATGACTTCATTCTACTACAAGGTGATCTGTCTAGTGGATGGAGGTAAAGCTGTTGATGTGGTCTACCTGGACTTCAGTGAAGCCTTTGACATTGTTCCCTACAACATCCTCATGGCAAAGCTGGCTGGCACAGTTTGGATGGGTATATGCTCCACTGGGTGAAACACTGGCTGGATGGCAGGGCCCAAAGAGTTGAGGTCAATGGAGTTAAATCCAGTTGGCTGCCAGTCACGAGTGGTGTCTATCAGTACTTGGTACTGGGGCCACTTCTATTAAACATCTTTATCAATGATCTTGATGAGGGCATTGAGTGCACCCTCAGTAAGTTTGCAGACAACACCAAGCTGGGAGGGAGTACTGATCTGCCAGAGGGGAGAAAGGCACTACTGGGGGACCTGGATAGACTGGATCGATGGACCAAGGTAAACCCCATGAGTTTCAATATGGCCATGTGTTGGGTCCTGAATTTTGGTCACAACCCCACTCAACCCTACAGGCTTGGGGAGGAGTGGCTGGAAAGCTGCCTGATGGAAAGGGACCTTGGTGGATGGACCTTGATGGACAGTCAGCTGAATACGAGCCAGCAGTGTGCCCAGGTGGCCTATGGCGTCCTGGCTTGTATCAGAAATTATGTGGTGAACAGCACCAGGGAAGTAATCTTGCTCCTGTACTTGGCACTGGTGAGGTCTCACCTCGAGTGCTCTGTTCAGTTTTGGGCATGTCAATTCAGGAAGAACATTAAGGAGCTGGAGCAGATTCAAAGAAGGGCAACAAGGCTTATAAAGAGCTTGGAGAATATTCCCTACAAGGTGCAAAAAAAAGGAACTAGGACTGTTTAGTTTGGGGAAGAGGAGGCTGAGGGGAGATCTTATTGCTCTCTTCCAATACCTGAAAGGCGCTCACAGTGAAAGCAGGGTTGGCCTCCTCTCACTAGTGACAGGTGATAGGACGAGGGAAAATGGCCTCAAGTTGCACCAGGGGAGGTTTAAGTTGGATGTCAGGAAAAATTTCTTCACAGAAAGGGTTGTTACGCATTAGAATAGGCTCCCCAGGGAGGTGGTTGAGTTACCATCCCTGGATGTGTTCAAAAAACCGTTTTGATGTGGTGCTCAGGGACATGATTTAGCAGAGGGTTGTTAGAGTTAGGGTAGTATGATTAGGTTGCAGTTGGACTTTATGATCTTTAAGGTCCTTTCCAACCTGAGCAATTTTATGATTCTAGGATTTAACAGCCCTACAATCCAATTGCACAAAGCCTAAAATGTAACACATTGCTGATTGTCCAACTTTTTGTTAAAAGGCTTCAAAAAGTACTAAAAAAAATGTCCCAGAGTTTCTGGAAGAACTTCACTGAAGAGTTTCATGTGCTATAACACTCAGAAAAATCATTACTTAATTTTGACATTTGAATGTCTTATTGTAAATTATGCTTGTGGAAACACATTCAAATAAATTTGTCCTGAACAAGAACAAACTGCACATCCCAAGCTCCCCTAAATGAGTAATTTTTCAAAACCGTTCACAGACAAGTGCTTCTCTTTTGCAGGCCCAGTATCTAAAAAGCTCTGTGATATTATCCCTGTGTATAACACCAAGACAGCCAACCAAAAAATTATGGTATTCCTACATTTTTGAAGTGCTTGCCCTAAAAGCAGAAAAAAAATCTAGTTTATTTATTTGGATGTATATTAATTAGTATACATTAAAACAAAACCAACAAAATAACTGATGTCATGAAGTTGCATTTTCCATGTGGAAATATATTGCTGAAATATGCACTTCCTTCTTGTATTGAAGGCAAAAGATAAAGACTTAATATGTTCACACACAAATTTTTCACAGGAAATTAGCGTCATATATGAAGTTATATTTATCAGTCACCACAGGAACTATGTTCTTTGCTGCAATGCAAATGCTGACTTTCTTTAATAAATTAAACTATGTGACTATAATTAAGTGAATTCAAGGAAACAAATCTTCAATTAAATACACTGAAATACCACACTTAGAATTCAATCAACTGTGTTGTCTTTTGATGCTTCTTGCACTCTTCTCTTTAACTCAAGTGTATGATTTAATCTCACAAGCACCACAGTTAGCTATCTATGGTCTGAAAAACACTTCAATATTAAATGTGTAAACACGTCAAAGAACTGACTTCAGTAGTGTTAAATTAAACTACCCACAGATGGAAATTATTATGTACCCCGTTCTCCTGCTCAGATATCAATAGCAGCAAATGGTAGTATGAATGTTTTTAATGTAACCTGCCTTATTTTGCAAAGTAACAAAAAATGTTTAATAAATTTCAGCAGTAGTTGTGTGACTATGCTATCTTCTCCAGCAGTCAGGGATTTCCCCAAACAAAAGCTCTTTGTTGACAAAGATTTGCTAGTGGCTACAGGGGCTATTAGGGTTTATTTAGAGTATCTACAAGTCCCCAGTTTAAGCTACAGAGACTTATATGTAGGTTCACAAGCTGAAAACTGCAAGTTTAAGCTCCTAGGAGCAGGCCCTTATCTCAATCCATAAGTTCTTGCACTTTTCAATCTTCTCCCCCATTCCACTGTGAAGGAAGCATGCAAACAGATGTGTAGTGTTTAGTTTTCTGCCAGGTTAAAGCACAACACTGGAGGAAAACTTGAGGGTGACAAGAATAAAATGTATTTGTGAGTAGTGTTAATTCAGAGTTAACTTGAGAGTCTCTCCTTTTGAGGAAATATTAATTTTCCCCCTTGGGTTAATCAACCCAACTATATTCATTAGAGAAGGGCTCCTACTGATTACAACTGGAATAAGGCACAGAACTGCTCTCAGCTGCAGCACCCTAGCTATTCTTTAGCCCTTTCCTAAAAGTTCCTTCTTTCCAGTCCATTGAGTTACTGAGGCATACAGGTACTGGAACTGAGAAAATTAGATGTCTGACTGGAAAATGAAGGTTTCGTAGAGCAGGAATTTTTTACTCACTAGATTCCTTATTTGAAATGAATGAGAGAAAAAAGCAGCTGTATCAACAGCTAGAGATGAGGAAAGGAAGAGAAAATGGCCATCCATAACTGCAGACTCCCAGGGACTCTAGGACTCAATGTTCTATCACCGCAAAATCTCTCTTCTGTACTAGCTAAGAAGCTTCAGACCTGCTTATAATAAATATACACAGGCAGGCAACATTCTGTCAGTGATATACAAATAGTCTTTTTAACTAAAACTATTTTGTAGAAAATAATTCCTGATTTTCCATTAAGAAGTAAAGTTAACATATAAGTAAAATTTTTAACACTTCATTTATCCATGGCCCAAAGACAGAACGTTCCTATTTTAAACACAAAACTCAGCTAGATTTTTTTTCTGGAGACATCACCGCCAATGCATCTAATAAAATTACATTTACACGTCAACATTGATCATTTCCAGAAGAATGAATAAAACTCACAAAATAATGAAAACATAAATAGCACAGAAATTAAATGTTGTGTCATATAAATGTTTTAAAGTACAAATATAGTTAGTTAATACATTCTTTCCTTTAAAAAAGAAACTTTTTTTTCCCCGAATACCACCTTTAGTATTTACTACTTTCACTTATCATTAATTTATGACAGTCCGAGACTGTATGGATCATCATTTTTCAGATAGCACATACATAGAATAAAATTGTTAGATATTAAAAATACTCTATGCCATGTATGTTTGTTTATATTGTTTTGTGAGTGTTTTACAGAGTTGTACTTCTTGGGCATTCTACATTACTTAGGCAAACAAAAATTACAATAGTTATGTTTGAGGAAAAAAAACACAGAAATTTATTTTTAAAAGATAAATGTTTGGATATGTTCAACATTAAAAATATTTCTCAAATCAATTATCTATTTTCCAAAGCTCAATATTCTACCTCTGCATATAAAATATATGCTGCGAGGAAAAGATGTCAAAATTTTATTTTCCAAAATTTTTAAAAATTTATTGCATTTAACAAGCTTCCTTAGGAAATCCATATTGAAAACCCATTAAGAATCCTTTTGATGTGAATTGTGCATCAAAAAAATTGATATACTGTTTTCTCACTAACACACTATTATTATTTATGGCTATGACTCAGTTGTACACAGTTAAAATAAATTTTTAATTATTTTAAAATTATGTTTTCCAGAGAAAAACAGAATCCTTGACTGATTTTTGTAATGCAACTATATTCTGAAAAAAGCTTCTATATTGTGTCATGATATTAAAAGCTTGCTAGCAACCACTTCAGGTCAGTTTGTTCATCTCAGGATGTTTATTTTGTACATTATTCCAGCAAATTCCCAATGTTCCGAAAGTGAAGTTTAGATGTTCTTCCCATCTATTACAAAATGTCACTTTCATACCAAAATATTTTAATATCAGCGGAGTTTTACTCTTTAATATAAGAAGAATTATGATCTTCACTTTGGAATAGTGGCTTTGAAGTTTTACACCAGATATACTCACACTCTTTCTAAAAGAAAAAAATAAATGCTCTTGAGTTCTCGAGATTACATAAAATCATGCTGATAATAAAAGAGATTGTTCCTGACAGTATAGTAGGGAATAAATTTAGTACATACCTCATAGCCAGGGCTAACAGGAGACTGAGACAGGAAGTTGGAAAGAATAAAAGATAGACCAAAGAAATAATGGAAAAAAGACAGAAAATAATGTTACTTTAGAAGCAAGCATGAATAGGCTATTATTTTATTCATTAATTCTACGTAGCTTGCTCTGAAAGTAATGCCTTCCATTTATTTCCTTGGAAATGACAACAGATACAAAGAGCACAACTACACTATTTGATAGAGCAAATTCTCAGCTACAAAACACTATTTTTCAGTGTAGTCACCATCATTAGCTATGCCTTTTTGCTAGCAATGATCAAGAGCCTGCATGCTGCACTGGTAAAACTCTGCACTAGCAGAGGTAACCCACTGTCACCGCTACTGAAATGCACCACCCACCATCTCACTGTGCTCACATCCACTGTTCAGTCTCCATAAACATTCAACACACATCAATGAATGTCAGTAGGTGCCATTTTTTCCACATAGAGGGATTCAATTCTACACCTTGGCTTCATCCACACTTTTATGCCAGATGCATTTTTGTCAGAATGCCCCTCTGCTGCCGTCTATTGTATGGCAACAAAGTGTAACGGAATGTTGGTGGGTAGGTTGAACCCCAACAGACATATTACCACCATCCTCCTCTAATCTTGTGTTGCACCATAATAAAATAGGAGACATTACTTTCATCGCAACCCTGATATGTTATAGAACAGAATGCAAAAGAATTGCATTTGAGCTATGATAGGTAAAAACTTGGGTAACACTACACCCTCCTAGTTTTACTTAATTTTATTATGTCCATTTGATGAGTTTTACACTGTGAAGTTAAGAAGAAAAAAAGGATATTGCCCAGATTTTATTTTATTTTTAAAGTTGCATTTAAGTATAGCCCCCAGTCAATTTTCAGCTCAAATGAAATGCTTTATTGGCTAATGAGGACAGACATAAACTTTGAAACTGTGCCTGCTGTGGCAATTCCCTAGAAAAGGATAATTCAAATAACTGTTGAAGGATACTACATTACCCATTACCATGCCTCAAAGATTTCTCAAATATCAAAATTCTACAATTTTCGGCAAAATGTCTTAGCTCCTTCACATAATGTAAAAAACATATATACTGAAATAAAAATTCAGATAATTTTGCCCCCTATGAAGAGTCTCCAGGAACTATCAACTCTCTATCAACTGTTACCACTCCACTTAGTAAATAGGTTAAAAATGAAATTTATTTTAGTTCTATTTAAGTAACTGGTAGATCTCTGACAGAATTCACTAGTCTCAGATGGAGTTTATATTTTTCTGTCAGTGACTCAAGAATCATGCCAATACAATAAAAATAATGTATAATAAAATTTTGTGATAACGGTCAATGTCTCTTTGTCTATTCACAAAGATTCCAGAATAATGAAATACATTTCAAAATACATGCTTTGATTTCACATCATAAATTGCCATAAAACTTATCTCAGAGTACAGCACAGGAATGGAGTTCAAAGAAGAGATCTGATGTAGGAAAAGTGAAAAAAGTCTATATAGACTTAAAAAAGGTGGAAAAATTCAAACATGTTCAATGCAAAAACAAAAACACATGAAGAAGTCTTGTTTGAGATCTCATCTGAAAATATGATAAATGATACCATGATTTCCTGAAGTAAAAGTGACACTGGAAAAGCACTTATTTCATTTTTCTAGGCTTATGCCTATCCTTGTAACTTTCTACAAATACACTTTCTATGTACATGTGTGAATGTGCACATGCATATATGTTTATACAAATGCATGATATTCCAAAGTTTGGTTACCCTGATGATTATAAGATCTTTGAGAAGTGTATTTTGCAGTATGCATGATACTTACTGTATTTCTTTGTATTTTAAATTAGTTTTATTTTTTTAAACATTTAAAATGTATAGCTTCGCAAAAAAAAAAAAAAATATATATATATATAAGAACCAACAGAGTCATATAATTGAACGTATTTTCATATTTAAATTGTTATCATGTAATTTATCATGTACAGTGAAGTGAGTACTGATAGAGAGTGTACTAAGACTCTCACTCATAAAACTCTTTTAATCAAAATTCCAGGAACAGAATTAGGGTCAGTCTTGTCTCAACATTTCACTGGTATTGGTCTGAATAAGCCAGCATTTTGAAATAACCTACTGAGAATCATGAATAATCTATGAAGATTTGTTGCTGCAGTTTCTGCAGAACTTAAGCACCATATTCATTTATGCAGCTTTTCAAGTAAAATACAGATTCATAATGTTAACCTTAATTTCCAAGTAGCTTTACGCTAATGATAATCATCAGCATAAGTACATAATTATGGTTCATAGATGGCACTGCATATAACACCAGATCTACACCATTCGCAATAGTGTCCTTTTAGTATGTCAAGTTTAATAAGTTTAATATTCTAATTGAGAGGAAAACATGATAATTGTTGTGTGTACTTACAAACTCTTTCCTCTCTTTCAAACCTTAAGGTTTTCAAAACTTTCACTTAGAAGTGGAGTCCATTTACACACAGTGCAAATTCATAACTTTCATATTATGATCACAAGAAAAATACTGCCAAGACAAAAACAAGTATTCTAACTTTTTTCAGTCATTGCATTTTGTTATCGGAAGACTTTTCATCATGGAAAACTACTATATTTATGAATAAACAAATACGTTGTATATGTATGTGTGCACGTGTGTCCTGCAGCTCTGCATTTAGACATCTACACATAAAAATACATATATTCTACACACATACTACACTTACCACAATGTTTTGTTTAAGGAAATGATAAAGATTTCACTTTCTCCAAACACTAAGAGATATTCTGTACATACAGGTTACTTACAAAACATTATAGCCTTGACTGTTACAGAAACTCTGTTTGATGCAGTGTCTCAGTGTTCTCCTGAGACCACTTCTTTCCTGTATCATGAACCAATGGACATAACGTTCTATGGCAGAAAAATTTCAGCATCTAATTCCAGTGAAGACATCCAATTTTGAGCATCAAGATGCAGCTTCTCACATTAGCATGGGTGGCAGTTTCAGATTTTCAAAATAACATAATTCTTCTCTACGGGAGGAGTCTACTGGGAGTATCAGAAGTGACACATACCTTAAGCTCACATACCTTAAGCTGGTGACCTCCCTTTTACATCATGATGCCTTTTCCCACAGAAAAACATTTGCATACTCTTAGCTCCAGAGTCTCCAACAGACAAAAACAAATCCTGCAGCACATAATTGTTTCTTAACAGTAATATCCATGACCTTGGTAACTAAGGAATTGCATACCAGAAGGGCTTCATCCGACACACTGGGTGATGTCTCTGCAGAAACTGTCCGAATAGTGTTGAGTCCTGTTAGGGAAACATTTGACAGGCGCCTTTTACGTACACCACTGCAGTTGTTAGGAATTTTAAATGCACATCTCTTATGGTAATTTAGACCACATCCTGAAAAGAAAAATTTAAAACCATCTGATTACAGTTTATTCCTGGAAAAGCAAAGAACATTTTTCTTTGGTGAGTAAAAACAACAGCCTTTTTTGATGAAACTTTTTTCCTCTGCTCTCCTTGTTTAGTTCCTATATTCTACATGTTCTTAGTGACATTATGAGCTCTTGAAAACTTAAACCTATACAGTGTTTTATCGATCATAGAAATGATAAATACATGGAAGGAATGGCACAAAGCTGCACCACAGAATATTCAGATTGGACATTAGGAAAAATTTCTCTTCCATCAAGATTAAACACTGTAATGGCTTCCTAGCAAGTTGATTGGTGCCCTAAGCCTGTCAGTGTTCAAGAGATGTTTGGATAATGTTCTCAATAATATTCTTCAATTTCTGGTTAGCCCTGAAGAAGTCAAGCAGTTGGAAGGTCACTTCCAATCAAACCATTCTGTTCTATTATAACTAAGAAACAGATAAGCTTCTCTTCAAACAAACCAACCCACATATAGACTGTTTTGCACTTCCACTTACAGATCAGTATCTAGGAGGCCTCAGGAGAGTCAAAAGGATACCTCCTTAATCTGTTAATTATTTTGATCATTAGATCTAATTGTCTCTACCTACCTAGTCAATTTAACAGAAAGCTGCATCAGAAACAACTGCATGAAAATGTAATGGAAGACTTCCTTCCTGAGACTGAACAGCCTGCAACCTACCCTCACATTTGAGTCCCTGGCGCACCAGTCCCCACAGCATTTCTCCACAATGGTCACAAAAGGCTGGTGCTCGGTAAGAATGAACAAAAAGAGCATGGGGTCGGATTTGAAAGTCTTCAAAAGTAGCAGAAGCTGTAACAAGAAGATTAATTCCAAAATGGAGTAAAATTAGTAGCATAACATGCTTCATATCTTTCATCACTGTACAAAACAAAACAACTTTTTTATTAGAGTTGTTATGTCTTTCCTTGTTACTCATGCAGAGTAAACTCTAGAAGATAACGAACTCTGAATTTTATATGGGTATACTATATATAGGTAAACATACCATTTCTCAAAGGTAGAAAGATTGATGGCATTTCATCACACTACAAAGACCACTGGAAAAAGAAACTACTTTTACATATATGCAGCACAACTTTATGATTTTATTTAACATAAGCTCAGAAGAAAGCTAGTAACTTGGTGATGCTGAACAAATTAAGTTCCCTAAATTGAATAATTGATGCCTTTGTTAATAGAAGTTTAAAGATAATGTACATGATAATGTAAATGATAGCACCTAAAATCTAACCAAAGATATGAAATGGAATGTAAATAAATACACAAGCAGAAAAACAGTTCAATTCTAAACAGCTTGTAGACAGAACAAGGAGTAAAAGGGGTGATGTGAAAATGAACTACAGATGGAATTTCAGTGGATAGAGAACAGAGGAAGGAGAAAAGGTTATCATTCAGTCTGAGCACCTGCAGAGGGATTTTCTTCCCGATTTTAAGAAAGAAAAAGAAAAAAGAATACATTGTGGACATCTCTGAAACTCTACTTCAGATGACTGTGTTAAAATTGTTTCTTTTTCTTACTATGTTAATGTACTAGTCCAATGAAAAATATTATGTACCAAATGTTATTAAAAATTAAGCAAGTATGCAAACACTTGATTCTATTTAGGATGTCATTTAAACATTTGATTTAGCAAGTATGTGCTTCCATTTCATAGATACCATTATGAAAGGACCAGGTCTGGAGTCAGTGAATAGAAATACCTTGTCCCTGAATAGAAATACATTTCCAATGTGGAGTCAAGAGAAAAAAAAACAATTTTTTAATAGTTCAGTTGAAATAAATCCTGAAAGACTTAAGCACCTTCAGTTCATGTATTAATAAAAAAAAATAAAAATCTGCAAACTAATGAAGTCAATCATCAAGTCTACCATCATTTCAGTCATATGTTTTTTCTATAGAATCAAAGAATACTATTTTGGAAAACTGAGCACTCAAAATTTAAAATATATACTGATATTAAAATATAAAAATGCATCTTTGTTCTTCATCTGTAAACATCAGAACAAAATATAGTCATACAAACTGATCATTTTGGATGTTGGTAATTCATACCTTCCTCTTCTCTCCACTTACCTGGTTTATTAGCTGAGATATAGACATGAAGACATGGTCATCTGCATTTGGGGAACTCCAGTCATTCAGCCTAGTATAACAAAGACACCTCCTCAGCAAGGAGGCTTCAGCTCTCTGCTTGATTTCTTCAGAGATTGAAAGTATGTTCTGAGCCTCAGCCCTTTCTATTCAAGAACTTTGATTCTGGAATTTGCAGAGCATGTGTACACATAGCTTTAAGAAGAATATGGCAATTATCTTCTCCTCCTCTATAGATAGCAGTGACCATGGAAGAGCTGTAAGCTTACTCAGCACCAAAACTGGAACAACATGCCCAATATATTTCCAACAAGACTGTGAAATGTACAGTTACACTTGCACTTACACTTGTCTCTCCAGTTTAAATTTGCACTTAACATAAAGATAAAAACAAAAAGTTTACTTAACAAGTCAGTAAGTCAGCAAGTCTACCCAGGGAGAATACAAGAATGCATGAATTTTAATACCATATATGTGAATATATATGTAAAATATACATGCAATTATTAAAGCACAATTAAAATATGAGTGATGTTTAAAAACAAAAATAGCATAAGCCTCAATCAAGCGAGGAATTTATGTACAGAAGTTTATGCCTACTTTCCTGAATATCTACCCAAATCTATTCAAGTTCTTAAATTCTATTCTGAGTGAAGGAACTTTACTATGTTGAAAGATTGGAGAGGAACTTTTTATGGATTTACTGGGTGGTAAACTATTTTTCAAATAGTATGAGCAGTGCAAAACCAAAAAAAAAAAAACCAAAAACAACAACAAAAAAAAAAAACCACACAGCCAAACTTAGAAAAAGCAGTAGCTGTCATTTATCTTCATAATTTAGATAATGAATTGAAAATATTTTAATCTTAAACTACTACTTTCCGTGAAAAGAAAACAGTAGAATCTGATTTGAATTTAAAACCTCCCAGAGGCAGTTTTCCTTAGGGATTTCTTCATTTGTCTCTCTTTCTGTATCTTAAATTCAGTTCCATCTGAAGCTGTTAAGTAGATGAAAAGCATTTTGTCATTATTCTCCTTACTTTCATTTTTATTGAACTACTCTCTTCACTATCCCCAAATGGCAAAGAAATAATTGATATCCTTCTCATTAAAGCTATCACTGAACCTTCCGACCTTCCTGCAAATTAATGAACGTGTTATCATGGTTCATGCTCCTGTAATAAATTTTTTTTCTACTCCCAAGGCAAAAAACATGATTTAGAAATGACTTAATTACATCTTCTGTTGAGTTTGGGTTACAGATAAGTGTAATACTAAATATCACATTTGTAACAGTAATAATGAAATTTTAGGAGACGGAAATCTAATGTAAAGAAACCTCCCAAAGTATGGAACTTCAAGTTTATGCAGAGATGATTATGAGCACACATGCAAAACTGCATACAGATTTTTAAAATCTGAATGTCCCACATATTTTCCTTTCTTGTACAATGAAACCAGCAAAACAGAGATGATAAAATTTCAGAGAAACTACTTTTCAGTTGAAGTTTAATTTTTGCCTGAAGTCTTTAACTGATTACTGAATTGGGATTTTTCCTTGACAGAAAAGTAAATTGTGTGTGCTGAATTATGGCTGGATTTAAATAGGTCTGTGGCAAGTTGGGCCATCATTTTCACAGGGTACTCAACCTCCTGCCACATCTGCTACAACATACTAGAGTTAAATCTCAGCAATGATGAGCTGACTGGCAAATTTGCCTACCTAAAACAAACTCTAAGAGCAGCTGAACTATACTTCTGTGGGGAGGAGAGACAATTGTTAGTAATGAAGAGTCCATTTGAATGAAATGTACCAGAAACAAAGTACAAAGCATTGAAAGGCAGGAAATCATATCAGGGAACAATGAAAGACTGCTGCATCCAGACCATGTACTAGGTTATTAGGCTGGCATACAAAGGAATGCAGATCAACATTGCAGCAAAATGCTACTAGGGCACTCACTCTCCAGCCTAAAGCCTCTCAGGCACCACCACCAACAGGTCAGCAAGAAACCGAAGTTAAAGTCAAACTACTAGATGAGAAACACCAGCCTAATGGTTGAAAAGGTAAGTTCTGGAATACTTCCTGCATTATCAAAATAAGATGAGTAGAGATAAATATCATTCTTACTTTTCATCATGACTCTCTTGACTGAATAACTGGAACTTTAAAATATACCATTTTATACTGAAAATATAAATATTCAAAAATGAAAGGTGGGGAGGGCATTTATATGATTCTTTATATGATTCTAAGAAAGCTTTAACAAGTACTAAAGAATCTAGTAATTAAATGAAAACATACCAACATTCCTTCCCCTTAATTTGAACTTTTGGTAATGTTCTATTGTGCTTAAAGGCATGAAAACATTTTGGGTTTTAATCCTTCATGTAATCCAGTATTTTTCTCGGCTTAAATTTACATGTTCTCATCAAGCTCTGCAGAAAGCAGTCTAGCTTTTTGTCTCAGGAAACAGTGTTATTTCAGAGCGCTATTCATTGAAACTATAATGTGTAGACCTTACTTTAGACGAATTATGTTTACTAGAAAATTGCCCGCATCTTTTATCTGTATAAATATACAAAGTTCACAGAGTCAGAATCACAGTATAGTTCAGGTTGGAAGAGACCCTGTAGGTCATCTCTACCTTCTCTGTTCAAGCAGGGACAACTAAAGCCACATCCATGTTTGGATGGTCTTTGAATATTTCCAAGAAGGAGACTTCACAGCCCCTCTGGGCAGCCTGTGCAAGTACTCCATCACCTGAATTGTAAACAAGTCTTCTGGTGGAACCTCCTGGTACTGAAAAAAACCTAGTCCTATCCTCTTTGCACTTTCCCATATTGTTCTGCAACACAGCTTTCTCAATTTTCTATGGCTAAACTTAGCACAGCTTAGATTTTCGGAGCACGCAACACCACAACTAGTAGTACATGAAATAGATTTTTTAAATTTCTTCCATAATTTTTCAACTTTTAATTGTTTAAATTTACACATCTAGAAATGCTTCCATACAACTGCTAACAAACAAAGTTTTAACTTTCAGAATACTCCAGTGTTATGCAATGAGAAGACAAAAGCACTGCTGATAAAGAGAATGATATGTACATGTTTCAAATTAAATGGAGACCATTTCTTTAACAAAAAAAATGTCATGGTACCTTCATACTTTTACAGAACACTGTTGCTATGAAGGCAACTTTCAGACTATACGTAAAACCGCATACTAAAAAAAGAATGGGTTCCAAATGTGCCCATTATTGTACGCTGAGCAACCAATTACTTTGTAGATAAGTTTGTAATATTATGTTCTTAAATGATGTTATTATGCTATTAATTCTTAGAATAACTTTTCACTATCTACTTAAGCATTCCAAGTATCACTAAAACACAGATGTTGAAACTAGAACAGTTTTGACAAGGCAATTTCATCAAGTCTGTTAATGACTTTGCTGTTAGTGGCTAGTGCTCCCTGTTCAGGGCTCAGGAGCAGATCTATCAGTCATCGCAGCTGGAAATGAGACCAAGAAGACATTGTGACCCATAGAGGCAAGTCCTGCTTTCAGAGAGAGGCAAATGATTTACTGATCACTTTGAATTCCAAATCCAGAAGGACATGAACTATTAGCAGAGACGAGATCCTGCTACTTTGAGCAACACAGCTTTGTGTAATGGGAACTTTCATCTAGCATTCATGCCTCTCATAGCCTAAGAAAACACCAATCACACGATCAGTAATATCTTGCAGCTATGAAAAGTAGACTTTCCCCTGCTATCCTCTTCCATGTGGAATGCCTTTAAAAGTAATGTATCCCATTGACAGGCATTCTTGAGTCTTTTGCTACGAGATCTGCTGACATTCACCACTTAAAAAATAAATAAAACATGCCCTGGCACACTATTCAACTTCAAACATTGCTTAAGCCATATCAAGTAATGGATGTCTGTACGATTTCACTGGGCTAAGAGACAAGAAAGCCTTTTACTCTTTCTGAAATTCTATTCTGGCAATCAATGAAAGTCTAAGAGAGTTTCACCAAAGTCAGCAGACTGCTAGAAGTTCAAACAAGCCAAAGATTTGACCTCTGATCTCTACTCTGATCTCCATCTTAATACCTGGTTTAGAAATAAAACTAAGATTATCAAGACTCCAATATATGAAAATTAAAACTTTTGAAAAACTAGACATATTCAGATTTTTAATCACTGTTTATTTTTTCTTGTCTGAGATAAAAAAGGTTGAATAAGGAATATTCAGGTCTAATGCATTTTCCAGAAATACTTCAAATTTTACATGCAGTAAAACCCAATAAAGTGTTGGTTTTTTTTTTTTCTTTTCCTTTTTCCTACCTATTATTGCTTTTATCCCAATGCTTTAGGTGAAAAATAGCCAAAATTACTAATGCTAACAGTTGGCAGGTAATCCGCTGCCAACTGAGGGAAATAAATATCGAGAACTGAATTTCAAACTCTTAAGAAAAAATCTGCAACTCACTAGCTGCAACTGGTAGTGTCTGGTTACAGTTTTTGATAGTGCCAGAACTGTATAAAAGTGGAACAACCTGCATATTCCAGTAATAAAGAGACAGGAAACAGAAACACCAAATATAATGCTGTTTACATGTTGCATTCCTGCATGTGGACTAATTAGATTGGAAAAAAAATGTGAGCTTGGTGGTGCAGTAAGAGGAGGTGAAAGAGCAAGGTCCTCTAGAACAGAACCTTAGCATCTGGAAACAAGAGGGTAAATATTCTGCCTACAAATAAGATGCTGGGAATGAGGCATGATCCAGAGATCAGGAAACTGCAGGCCAAGGGATGTTCATACATTTAGGCTAGTGATAACTAAAACTGGGAGCTTCAAGCAGTGGCACAGAAGGAAACAAGAAAACTTTGCATTCAACCTTCCCAGGCCAGTAGGTACCTGCCTCAAATTTCTCAAATTTCTTTATGAAAACCAAGAACAAGGCTGCATATCTTTCACTGTTTACAGTACTGTATTTAGCCAATGCATCAAAATGCATAAACTTAATTGTGCTTATTTACTTATTTATTTAGCACTGCACTGCACCCTCCCCTTGCCTGCTTTCAGCCAAGACAGTGTTGATAGCACACTGATGTTTTGGTTGTTGATGAGTGATAGGTGTGTGCCCAGGGCTGGGCTCAGTGACTTGGTGGGGAAGATCTGCACCCATGATGGCAGGGCAGCAGGGTGAGGTCTCATTATAGGCTGTGCTGGCTACCCAATGGGTTGGACATGTCTGCTATAAACCATTTTCAAGCACATAAACAATAAGTGAGTCATGAGAATTCAGCAAGCATTCACCAAGTGTAAGTCATACATGACCAAGAAGATAAACTTCTGTAATTAAATGACTGGCTTGGTATGCAAACGAGGAGCTGTGGATATTGTCTCAGGTTCAATAATACTTTTGATACTGCCTCTCATAAAATGCTCATAGTGAAACTGTTGTTGTATGGACTGGATGAACAGAAAGTGAGGTGAACTGAAAACTGGCCAAACTGCTGGGCCAAGGGGATGGTGATCAGGTGCACGAAACCTAATCGGAGGGCCACTTAGCTATCAGTGTATCCCAGGAGTCAATATGGTCTATGCCTGACTAATAAGTCTTTCAAAGACCTCAGACCATCAGAGAAAAAGAACAGAAGTATGACTATAAATAATTGTGTATTTTCATCCTCAATTTTATCTTTTCTAGGATATGACTGGAAAATGTAACCAAGTTAAGCAAATGGAAAATTTGTACATAAAATATCCAAGATGACATAACTTGGAAAAAATAAATGAATTATAGCTAGAAACAGTTTGTTGGTGGTGGATTTTTTTGTTTGTTTTTAATGGATTAAAATAATTCAAGAATGACGCAGTGCGAATCTCCAATGCCTGGTCAAAAAAAAAGTTAAACAAACAAAAAAACCAAAATATTTAGAGAACATACAGTTGCTCCACTGAACACAAAACAGTTGCTATTGACTTACTGATTTATCTAGGATTTCACTCATGCACAAAGTAAAATGAAATTGAAATACACATTGGGAAATGGTGACACCAATACTCCTCACTTGACACTGTGTTTGGTTTCAGAGACCAACCTAAAAAGAGCTATAGTGAGAGAGAAGAATTGACAGATGAGAAAAACCACTGTAGTCTTGGAAGATGACTTCCATGTACAGCGAGATTACAAGACCATAATTCTGTCATTTTTAAAGGAAACGAGTAAGCAGGTACTGGATTCCAGAAGAGAAGGAAGCTGCAAAAGAACAAAAACAGGGAACTAACATAATGCCTGAAGTAAAACCTTCTGCACCAATAAAACAGCAAGGTGAATTTTCACGTCCTGAGAGGCAGGCAAGCACTCCAAACTTAGGCAATAAGTCACCTACTAGCTGTCTAGGATAACAAAAATATTACTGAGGCCTCATTTAGAGACAGAATGAAGTAGGTTTCATAGAACGACAAAGTCTCCAGTTCTGAGTCAGGCACAAAAACAAGCAGATTGCAACTTGTATCATTTCCTAATTCTTTTCCTTAGTTTCCATTTCAAATTGTTAATTTTCCTGAAGGGAAAAACTCCAGAATTTGTATTGGCACTGAACAGAGCTCAGACAGCTGATCCTAGCAGTCTGTGCCTTTCTTCTGTGGGCCAGTCAGCAGACAGACACACACCAGTTGTTTAGCAAGCTGCATGATTCTTATACTCCATAAAATTCCCAACTGGCATAATGCACCAAAGTAAAATACAAGTAATAATGTTCATTGTGTATATATAAAAGCACAACAGATGCTGCATTCTGAAGTGATTAAATTTCATTTCTTTCAATAGAAAATTCTAGCTCTGCCACAAACTGTAACAGTTATGTTATTTGACTTCTGCAGGTACAATTTTATTCCCTAAAATGGTCTGAAGTGCTTTGTTTACACTTTTCTCAACTATAAATTTTTCTATGTAATTTTTCATCTCTCTCAAGAACTTGGAGCATAAGGTCCAAACCAGAAGATGATGTTACTATTGCTTAAACTGTCAAGGTAATGAACAGAATATGAAAATTAAAAAGAAACGTATGTAATAATCACAAGTTGTTCAGCCTTGACAGAAAAAATTTTAATTACATAAAGCACTGTGAAAAAACATTATGTAATCCC